TGACAAGCATGACACAGAATACACAATGCATATATGAAATGCTAACAACTTGTACTCAAAAAGTTGTACACATGTCTGGGTATGATGGAGTTATAAAATTAAGTCAATACGTTGTAACTGCATGTGTGTACAGGCCAAAGTGAGCAAAGTAAATAATATGTTTACCAGCAGCGGACACAAGTAGGACAACGTTGAGTCATCGGACCCCTTTCCTTTGTCTGGAAATGTGGCATTACTTTTGTTTTATTGGTAAAGATATAGTAAGAATTTCAACAAGAGCAAACGGTATGAATTGACTTTGACGGTACCTACACGTCAGTGAAAGTGACTTCGTTGTGACAATGTAACGGGAGAATATGCACCGACCTGTGCCATTTGATTGAAAGCTCAGTTTTGAACGGAAAATGAGTACAGGCTTTGCGACTTGCAGCTCAAATCATGCATAAGAGGATCAGTAGCAATATTAAATTATCACTGTGAACGGAGTAAAGAGGTTAGCTCAAGATCTAATGCATCTGACTTGTCTTCGGGAGGTACACGGTTCGATCGTTGGGTTGGGAACCAACTGTTCACCTTCCACAAAGTTCATGATTTTCTTCAGTCCCTCCAGGCACAGGTCAGGTTTCTACTTCTGAGTAAGTACTGATAGCTACGTGCACAAATTCAACACGAAATACATCTAGAAATTGTAGTACCCCACACACAATATCTACACCACACACACTACATGTCCTACCCCATTCCACTTAAGTAGGCTAGGATAGGTTTTAAAATATCAGTTTAATTCGTACTATAATAATAGTAAACTAGACTTACCTACATTAATTTTAATTCAATTATTATTTACTATATCATATTTTGAGGAATGGTTTGCGTAAGACGAGACTAGGAGCAATTGATCCATCGTGTAGCAGTCCAACGACGTTACATTGACAACATTTTTGGCATTTTAGACGCCTGATGATGACCATATATGGTCGAAGCATGTAGGGGGTACGCTTAGTGAATAAATACTTATTTCATCGATAACACTCATGTCTTCAATTGTTTCTTTATAAATCGTGTTGTCATAGACGAACTGGCACACATAGCATAATAAACCGATAATGAACATTGTCGAAGACCAGCAGTGAGACTCCCTCACCAAGCAGTCATAGGGAGAGGGGGAAACATTCACTAGCGGCATCTAAAGGCACCTGTAGTTAATTGCTTGAACAAAATTATTCCTCGCCATGCTTTTAACCAGTGGATGAGCGGAAAGTTAATTCTAAAGAAGTTAACGATTTTACCGATTGTGCTCTTGACGGTGGCTGTAGCCGTGTTGTGGTAGTTTCACCAGAGCTGAGGCCGCGCCATAGCTCAAGCGGTTAGTCGCTGGCTTCCCTCCGCGGAGGCCCGAGTTCGATCCCGGGTATGGTCAAGTGGGATTTGTGGTAGCCAAAGTGGCACTGGGGCGGGATTTCTCCGAGTACTTCGGTTTCCCCTGCCAATCTTCATTCCACCAAATTCTCCATCATCATAATCACCTGGGGCAGGTACAATAGATCAATCGTTGCTCGCCGTGCCGAGTGGACTCAGCTGGACTCCACCCCCTACTAAGCGAATTAAGGAAAAATCACCAGAGCTGCGGATAGATGGAAGCCTGATATACTTGGGTGACATCACGGTGGCTCGCTTCTCTTTCTTTTCCCATATCGGATTAATAACTCGATGCTATTGGCTGGACGTAGCCACTGTGATTTTTTTATTTTGAAAAAAAAAAAGAATGTTTATAAAAAGAGGGCACTGCCTAGGCCATTTTTGTATACATATTTATTTTTTTTAAATAAAAAAATCACAGTGGCTACGTCCAGCCAATATCATGGAGTTATTAAATCAAGGTGGGAGAAGGAAAGAGAATAGAGTTTAAAGAAATTAAATTAAAATTAACCAAATCAACCCCAAAACACGATAGTAATCACATTAAAAAAAAAGGAACCAAAATGTCATGAATATTTGGCAAGTCCTTGCATCAGAAACATCGACATTTGCCTACAAGCCTTACTTTTGACTCTCTGCGTAGGTATTTATTTTTCTGTATAATCTTAGACAGATATTTTGATTGCTTGTTTGCCTGTCTTCATGCACATTTCATTTATATGGTATTTTACAAACAGAATGAGACTACTTTACGATAAACACAAGACTGAACTCATCATGACAGTATTGCTAACCAACAAACAAGCTAAACACAGGAACCAATCACTGTAATATAATTACAAGCTTGTTTCACTTTTATGCTGTTTTACAAATACAGTATAAAATCAACAAAAATGACAACATGCTAACAACAAATCATCCATTCTCCCTTGACATACATGCTGCTCCCTCCAACGAACTTCCATAATATAATTACAAACTTCAAAATTATGTTAAATGAAGATTACTGATGCAGGATTTTCAAAATAGAAAACATAGACAATTCATAACTGCTTCCCAAATTCTTGGCACCAAAGCAAAAGTTCTAGGTGCCATGGTGACCTAGAGTTAATTGATTTGTTAAGCTCTGACTCTGTGTATAGGATAAGCAACATTTGTACACCATAAAATGTCAGATTTATGAGTAGAACTTTGTGAATATGACAAGCAGCATTTGTAAGAAACATACCACTGATTTATAACTTTCTGTACAGGATAAGTAATCTTGTTGGCTTGCTAAGAAATAATGCTTCTGAGTTTTATTTGGTAGGTAGTTGGTTTGATTCCCAGCTAGGACATAGACTATCCTGACTGATGTATTTTCATGGCTTTCCTCAGTCCTTGCAGGCTAATGCCAAAACAGTACCTTAAAAGCTAAGCCACAACTACTTCACTATTACCCAAACATTTGACACTATTTTAAATATGAAGATGAAATTAACATATAACAGGTTCACCCATACAGGTATAGCTGTTTACACTCATGCAGGGTTTCCCTCTTAAGGTGAGAGATAACTATTTCTTCTTCATTTGCCTATATGAATTAAATCAACTATAAACATTATGACTGCCTATTTTCCTTTGATATGACATGGATCACACAGAAACTGATGCCTCCAGTAACTCTTCATTCTTGTGGGAACATCTTTACCAAGTTGTTACCTAGCAACAATAGGCGGATACACAGACCCACAGACTCTACTTTGTTATGGAATAGACAACAAAAATAATGATGCATCCACCAACTCTTCTATTGTTGCATGTATCTGTCACCATGGGAATGTGTTTACTGAGCTACTGCCCAGCACCAAAAGGAGGGATACATGGACAGGGTACACAATGAGATGGGCTCAGTTGCCATGATATACATCCCAACATAAAGACTGGTTCAGGCAACCAAAAATTATTGGGAGGGGGGCTACACAGAGAGGATGGAGACTCCATAAGCCTGCTTTAGGAAAGTAGGTTAAAAATAGGAGTACAATCAAGTAGGAAGTGATACTGGGGGAAACAGTCACTACCCAACAAACTCTGTTATTGCAACATTTGCTTGGAGTGAATGAAGAAACCACAAACACAGTCACTCAAGGTAGAGCTGCAGAAAAACACATTCCAGTCTGGGCGATGTCAAAGAAAGCGTAAAGACGCAAGCAAAACAAGTCAGTGAAAGATCAGATTAAAAACAATAACTGCATATTTACCACATACACGGAGATCAAAAAGTCACGCACATCAAACTAAAAGTTGTTATAAATTGTATTGCAGTTAATATATCAACTACCACTAGATAGTTACTGTAGGAGTACTAACGAGTAGAAATGCTATCTGTCGTGTATCGGTCATACGACGTCTGCAGTATAGCTTTGTTTATTGCATGACAGACATGTTATTTTCCCAAGAACAAGTTTTATTGGAATTGAAGAGTCTGAATGGGGTTTCTTCACTGATGAAGTGTGGCTTCACTTTAGTGGCTACGTGAACAGTCAAAACAATAGGATTTGGTCATCTGAAAATCCACATGTGTTACATGAAAAGCCCATGCACTGTCAGAAAATTGGAGTGTGGTGTGCTGTATCAGGTCATCAAATAGTAGGCCCAATTTTCTTTGAAACAAAAGTGAACAGTCCAGTGCACCAAGAAATCATTACAGTTTATTGCGCTTCTTGAAGTTGATGAACGTGAGTGTTGGTTGCAGCAAGACGGTGCCACGTGTCACTCATCTAATGAAACCATGCAGTTCTTGCGCGAGCTTTTCGGTGACCGTCTTATTTCAAAAGGAGTATGGTCCCCGCACTGTCACCCAGATTTTTTCCTTTGGGGGTACCTCTATAAAAACAATACGCATACACTGGATGACCTCAAGAGGAACATTACGACAGCGATTAAAAGCATCGGTTTACAGGTGCTCCACAAAATGGGCTCAAACATGGTAAAAAGAGCCTGTGCATATATTGCTGATCAGGGAAGCCATTTCAAGCATATGTTGTAAAGACATGATTTGATTTTAGATTTCTAAGATGTAAGGTATGCCTTGTAGTTTGTGCATTAAACCAGCAAAATATAATTGCTTAGTGTGATGTGCACGACTTTTTGATCTTCCTGTATATTCTACTGCAGTGGCAAAATGCTTAATTTTAATGATTTGTAATATTAAAAGATGCTAAATACACTATCCACATTTGAGACAAAAAATACTAAACACAAAGAACATTAGTTTCATTATCACTCTTTTGTTGCTACATGATAATAATCTGGTAAGTACCAAGAAAGAAGTGTCCCTTATGCCAACACAGAAGCTGAAGTTCAAATAACATGTAAGTCTCCCAGGCTCAAACATATCCTATACCATGTGTAGTTAGTCCTGCTGTTACCAGCAATCTAACTTGGTACCTCCAAAATAAACAGCAGGAATGTACACCATAGCATTTGTTTCACATATCTCTATGCAAATAAATAATACCAATCTAATCCACAAAATATCATGACACATAATGCAGTGGTTCATAAACATATTGGGAATAAATAAAGATGTTTGCACAATCTGTACTTTCATTAACAAATTTATTTTTTCAAATTGTCAGGTATATGATACCGAGTACCATTAGCATCATATGTACATTGTTCATACATACAAATGTACATACATTGCACACACTTCAACTGTATTCTTGTAAAAATAATTTATTTATGAAACAGTGATATTTAATTGCATCTGCACAATCACAAGCTTGTCTTCATGTTTAAAAGTTGCTGCTTGCTAAGTAAGTGCTGGATGACTTAACAGGCACATCTGTTCACACATCACAGCAGTACTTCACACTTCACAAATCCTTCACATCCTTCACACTATCAACCCAGTATAAGCTTGAACACTATTACTAGAATGTTGAGGATAATGAGTGGAACTGAAACAAGAAACATACAAAATATTAATTAGATTCTATAGGGTTCTGACAATGGTGTATAACACACAGAGACACCGGATTTTCGGACTTTGTCCATCGTCCAGATTCTAAATAAAGGAAGGATATATACCAGATCTGTACCAGTTGTAGAAGTAATTACTATAGGGTTCTGACGATGGTGTATAACACACAGAGATACTGGGTTTTCGGACTTTGCCCATAGTCCAGATTCTAAATATTCTAAATTATTTAGAATCCGATGATAGACAAAGTCCAAAAACCCAGTATCTCTGTGTGATACAAAATATTAATTATTTTGTTGTTTTTCTTTCTAAAATACACTCTCTTTTAATTGCATTTATTTATGTAGTTCACTGAGGTAAGCTCTAATTACACAGGCTGCAGCTATTAAACCAAGATGTTGCAGTATACAGTCCTCAAATATGTTTCAGCTGTGTGTATGCTTTCAAGTTACCCAATATCTCACTTTAGTTTACATAATTCCTGTCTATATATTCTCAATATCTAAATTCCTAGCCTCCCTCTACTCTACTGTCCCATTTATATTTAACTTTAAATATTCTCCTCCATTCTTATGATAACTTTTATTAATACAATTTATTACACTTCTATATGCCAATTTTTCATTAATTACTAAACACTTCTTAGATAATTTCTCTCTCCACTATCTAATTTCAGTAAAATTTATAAAATATGCACTGTGACTTCTCATCCTTCACATAGAGAAAATTTTTCTTTCCCTGTCCCTGCCTTATTTCTTCCAATTTTTCATATTCTCAATCTCCATCATGCAACACTGCCGTCACATTCCTCAGCAACAACTTGTATATTCTTCCCCAACCCAAATATGGATAACATCATGATAAAATGTAAGATTTGAGGCTTTCACGGCGGTGACTATGAAGAAAGCAGTCTTCTGGGATTTGGCACCGTGTATATGTGGTGTTAACACCACATATCTTCATATCTTCATCATGATAAAATACTAGCAACATATTTTCAGATAACACTGAAAACAAGTTTTGGCTTTCAATATAATTACATATATCTTTCATAATAAAATATACTGTACCTCTATTATTTTCCTCTTGTCTTTACCAAATAAATACCAGGCCCAACCCTTCAATTTCCCCCTTAACCTTAGGTGACTGATTTCAGTACAATTTAAAATCTTGACATTGTTACACACTGCTGTGATGTGTTCTGGAATTAAGTAAGGACACCTCCTCCATAGCACACTTAATGGATTACACACATAGCCATGACTCAGCCACCACAGCATAATTTCTAAAAGTGGCATGCACCTACCTCACAGTGATGAGGTTACATTAAATTAAATAACATTCACATAGGACAAAGCTGGGTGAGATTACATTGCTTCACACAGTTCACTCTTTTCCATAAAAGAAATTTGCAACATTCAGGGAGGGAAATGCTGTCTCAAGTTTCCAGATGAAGCTCGATGTTGGTGAGAGGATTTTACTGTTGAATTCACCCACCTTACATTTTCATAGGTCAATAGTATGGATCCTCAGTGGATCTGTAACATATATAAACTGACCAACAGTAGGTTTTCCATCACATCATTCGTTGGTAATGAAGAAACAACCTCCTAAATACTGGACTTATGCTCCTGATTGTCACTGCCAACTGCTCAAGATTTTATCAACAAACTAATACAGATTCTTTGGAATTAATCCTGTCCCTTATATCCCAATAAGCTTAAAACACATGAGACATTGATAAATTCAGAATACTAGTAAACCTATTCTTGAGGACTGAAAAAAGGCAAATGCTGCAAATAAATCTGTCCTCATTCTCTTTTATTACTGTACAGTCTACTATTGCAGGAGCAACGTTAGCTCAGCCCAGCATACTGACTAGGCTATTAGCTGGATGACTGAGGAGTCAGGGTTCAATTCCTGGCAAATGCAAGAGATTACATCCTCTGATTTCAATTGCACGCAGCTCCCGAGTATGAGGAGGTAGGGAGCTTAACTTCTTCTGTTACACCAGCTGGAATTTTGTTGTCCAGATCGCAGTATTATGCAAGACAGCAAACCTGCCATCTATCCAGTCATTCTCCAATACATGTGCTCAGGGAGCAGGCTGAGATCACTTTGTGTTCATGTTTGGTTAAATTGTACCAAGTAGTTTAAAGCATAGGCATGTAAATAATGGCGTTTTCTTTGGGTTTTAATACATCAAAATCTCAGCAACATGCATTTACATTCTCCCTTTAAGACAAGAAGCCCCAGTTTCACACCTATACAAAACAAAAAATAAAACTATACTTCCTCCACCTTATTGTGTTGGTGGGGTTTGAGTGCTCCTGAGACCCTGAGAGCTATGCCAGCAGTAGCATAGCTACTGGTAGGGTCACACATACAAGACAAATCAAGGGGTAGGAACCAGATGAAGAGGGATACCCTGGTCCTCCAGGTTTGGGGTTGGGTACGAGGATAACAACTTCACACCATAAAAACTAAATTGTTCAGAAACCAGACAATCAGCCTCGGATGTATGGATTGAACAGTGAAAGAATAGGGAGAAAAGATAAAGAATAAAGAAGAGTGGAGGTACACTGTTCAGGAGGCCAAAGTTCACCCTGAGCTGTAGCACCAAAGGGAAGGAAGAAAGGAAAGAAAACTATACTTGTGTATTTTAATTTGTACCCTTATATAAGGAGTAAAAATATAGAAGAAAGGATTTAGAAAATTCTGAATATAAGTTTCAATTTTGGAAAACACAGAACAGACCTGAAACAAGAAGGCACATGAGTTGTGCTATTACAACAATAATTTCACTTGACAGCATTCTAACCACAGCTTAATATAGTTCATCAGTACATCTGTACTACAGTTCTAAAACTTCAGTGTATTCAATAGCATAAAATACTTAGGTACTTACTTCTCATCACAGTACGTATTGATCTTACAAGATTGAATACTTGCGATCTGACAGATGGCTGTTCCCCAAACCCCTGGATGTTCTGGTTCGCACCCCAACCCACTAAAAATTAAAAATGTTAGCTATGCTGTGAATTCAATATAATACATAAGACGTACATCTCTTACGGCTGTAATAAAGTCCTAGCTGTGTAACAAATTAAAAATCATGGCAAGGTATTACGTTAATAAAATAAATGAGGTTAAGATCAACAATATATTCGATCTAAATACTTCATTTTCAAATCAGCTTTCTACATACGTGCAAGTATAGAAGAATAAAATGCTTACTTTTCACTAAAAACCGTTCTTCGTGCAATATACATACTGCGTTTAAGCATAATAATGTTGCTTCCAATAAGTTCCACAACGTGAACGCCATGTTAACGATCGATTTATCTCGCCCGTAGATGACACACCTACAGCGCCGACGGCCTACAGATGCGTAACTGTAATGGGGGATGTCGTTTTATGCAGAGACCACCACTTGTTGATATTTATAATATTTATTACAGTTGAACAGTATACACGGACGAACTTGAGCTTGAAGAATTTAAGAATAATAATAACAATAGTGAACTCCTTGAACACTGAACTAGAATTGTAGAACTGCTGAACTCTAGAACTGTAACTGTAAACTTCCACTCAATGTATCTTATACAACCAAGACTCGGTCATACAGAAAACATGTCACTCTGTTCGTATTGTTGTAGGTTTTGTCTAGTAGCATCTGTTTACTCGCTTTGCCTAGCAACCGCTGTTTACTCGCCCTTGCTAAGCAATGATACTTGCGTTGTCACATTTGCTTGAATGTGGGCAGTTCCCACACACACTATTGGTTGGCAAAGCAGTGCTATGCCTCATGTTCCACTCATGTTCTTTTCCACCTATGAATCACACAATAACAGTGTGCATTGTGTAACCCAATGAGATATAACCAGTTGCCCAGTTGATAAGAAGATTGTCTGATCTTCCACCTTCGGAAACCTGAAATATCTTTCACCCCCTCCACACTAGGAGTCGTGATCATGAAGAGAAATGAGAACTAGGAACAGCTTGGATATTTGTGGTGGTAAAGGGCGGTCAGGGTGTAAGCTTGACAACCTCACTGCCATCTATGAGCCGAATGGCAATAAAATGTGGGAGACTCGACATCTAACAACCCAATGGGCCTCCACAGCCTTTTACAGAGATAACATTACACTGTTTAACCCTCTATACTCATTCCTCCAAAAGTTCTGGAGATGACATATTAGAATGAAGAAACTGATACATTTTGTGCAAAGAATGCTTAATTATATGGGGCCAATAAAATTTAGGAAGGATAAAAATTACAAAATTTGTGCAACCAGAATGACATTATTATATTGGATAAGACATACATAAAATGTGAAACTAATCGTGAACTCAATAGATAATTGAAGGTTACAGTGCAAGGGCCGGTTTTTATGGCTCACCCCTCGTACTCATACCCAACAGTGAACTCGGTTTTAAGAAAGGTATCTGATAGGAGGTGAGCAAGAATAATTTATCACAAGGATTAATTAATTTTTCCAGAGCTTTCATTTTTTATGGCTTTGTTTCATGCTTCAAAATTGCAATGATATTTCACAGATACTCCTACATAGGAAACATGTAACATTAAGTAGATATATTATCCATGGCACTATCACAGAACTGATAATGCAGTGGATGGCTGTTGGCTGCTAGCAGCGAGGATTGCCACATGACAGTGATTAAACCAATCATCTGCAGCTGGTCTGATGATACATGTACCTTCTGTTTTCCCTCACAGCTTTAACATCTTAAATGATACAAACTCCGTCCCAAGTGCAAACAATATATATTATATGTCTTTGATCTTGTTCTTTCTACACTACATGTTTCGGCCTCTATCGGCCATCATCAGGTGTATACTCTTAACGTTGCTGCCACACTGAACCCAGTCTAAAATTTAACATTTAAAAACACATTGTCACTTTCTTCGTATTATCAACGTCTGCCTCGTTGATATGTGTCTGGTATGTAGATTATATTGCACACATCAAATTTGATATTCCTGTAATAGCACTATAAAATCTTTAGTTATGATGTTTTTAAAATCCTTTAAAATTTTGAGTAAATTTTAAATTTAAAATTTTGAGAAAATTTTAAAGGATTTTAAATTTAAAATTTTGAGTAAATTTTAAAGGATTTTAAAAACATCATAACTAAAGATTTTATAGTGCTATTACAGGAATATCAAATTTGACGTGTGCAATATAATCTACATACCAGACACATATCAACGAGGTAGACGTTGATAATACGAAGAAAGTGACAATGTGTTTTTAAATGTTAAATTTTAGACTGGGTTCAGTGTGGCAGCAACGTTAAGAGTATACACCTGATGATGGCCGATAGAGGCCGAAACATGTAGTGTAGAAAGAACAAGATCAAAGACATATAATATATATTGTTTGCACTTGGGACGGAGTTTGTATCATTTATCGTGTAGAGTGCAACAGGATGCTTAAATATAATACTTTAACATCTTATTTGTGAAAATAAAGTGTTCAATTTAAATGAGAGTTTACTGTCTTTAGAATGGAAGACCTATAACACAAGAGCCACATTTTAGACAGAGAAAACAGAGATTCAGTTTTTGAGGTATTTCATTATTTTGAGCAACAGACAGAGAACAGAGGACCTATGCATGGTCTTGCCAAATTGCAAGAATGCAAGGCATTAGAAGATCTAGCAACACTAGAAAATCTCTCTCACATGCACACCTGCACACACACTCTTGAAGGCAGGTGCAGGAACATTAACTGTTGCACAAGTGAATATTCCATTTGGTGGTTGGGTAGAATAGCATTACTGATAATGATTAAACTTCAAGCCAATTCAAAGAATAAAGATTCTGAAATGAAAAATAATATATATATATTTCCTGAGCCCATTTTTCTCTAAAATTGTTATGAATCTGTTCTTCATACACTTTCATAAATTATCATATTTCCAAAGTATTTAAATGAATATTGTCGTCTTATTTGTCTAGAATTCTGAATACTTTTTCCAAAACACAGCAACAGTTTTCATTTGGGTGTTCTATTTTGTCAGGAGACAGATGTTTAAAAGGCCATATAAGTTGATAAATGTTGCTGTGTGCTTTGTTCCTAGGTTGCCTGTATCAAAACAATGAAAACAGATATAAAAAGACAAAGATTAAAAATCAAGGTTACTTATATTTGAACTTATTAAAAAATCAATGCAGATTCTTTATGCTCAATTTTTATTATGAATACATAAGTTGTTATACAAAAGAAGTGACAAGAATATTGCTGTTAGTGTAAATTACCAGTTCTGAATAAATTTGTAATTGATATGAACTGACTTTGGCCCCCCCAAATAATAGTACATTAATAGTAATATTTTTTTATGAGTTTTTACATCCTACAAATCTTCTGAATCAAATATTCACAAACAAATAGAAGGATTCTTGCAATGTCATAAAGCTGGAATCTGAAACACGATGGTTGGAAAATTTACTATGTTGTAATGTAAAATTAATTCTTTAACTCACTGTGTCACTGACACTGCGTAATTTGTAACAGGGTGTCCACAATGTTTGCATTACCTTCATGCAGGGAGCCCTTAAATGGCTTTCATTTCCTTAGCTAAAAGTCAAAACTATTCTATCTTTTCTCAAACAGATATCATTCAGTTTACATATTAAAGGACAAACTTTAAGGAACCAAAATACTTACTGAGTTTTGTCTCTCCTATCAAAATGTCTGCATTAGCTCATTTGACCATGGCCATGTGTCTTGCAGGTTTAATCAGGCAATTAAATGCCTGGCAAGGGTGTCATAAGATGTGTGAAAGCCATTCTGATTTGTGTATGATGAATTAAAAGACAAAAATTGTGCATATAAAATGCATATATGAGAGAAAAAAATTAACAAAAGTTAATAAGTTTCCTATTTTTATTTTTTTACACTCATAATCTGCACATTTCTTTTATCATGCACAGTACTTTGTTTTACTAAAATTTATATGGCGATAAAGGATGTTACTGTTTAGTGTCATGGTTCCTTTCCTCATGACCCTAGTTGATTTTTATGCTCTTATTTAACTATTTACAATCTGTTCCAGTGCTATTACATTTTTTCTGTCTTCTCACCAGTTTTCATATATCGTACTCCTCATTTAAACCTGTAATTTTCATCTTCATTTTGTGTCTAACTGCATTTATTTGGGGAGATGGGATAGAACAGTTGGTACAGTGACTGGCTATGGGGTGGACGGCCGAGGGGTCAGAGTTCGAGTCCTGGGAGGGTAAATAATTTTCTTTTCTCCATGTCATTCAGACTGGCTCTGGAGCCCACCCAACTCCTATCCAATAGATACTGGGGACTCTTTCCCGGGGGGTAAATCGGCCAGGGCGTGAAACTGACCACTCACCTACAACTACTGCTGAGGTCAAGAAAATGTGGATCTATACACCCACTCCCCCATATGCCTTCATAGCGTAGTACTTAATTAGTTAAGCACAGGGACAACTTTATCTTACTACAATTATTTTTTATAACCAGCGATAGCTGTGACAGTAAATAGGCTGGATACAGTCTGAATAACCAGGATTGAAAATACAGCAGAGTTTTGTAGAGATTCTGACTTCACAACACCCTGTTTAATATGCAAAATGGGTTCTTATCCTGGTGGAAAGTGGATGGACTGTTACAGCTTAACAGTCCTGTTATACTCCATCCTCTATGCCAGGGGCTAGAAGGTTGAAGTTTCACCTCCACATCATCTACATACCTTCATAGTGTGATGATTAGACACAAAGGAAACTTTCCTTTTTACTATATTTTGTTATTTACATTGTCTCTCCAATCTATTTTTTGTACAAGCTCTCCCCCCACTCCCAGCATACCTGCCATATCTTCACATTTTCTTCTGTAACAGTGCATTTTTATCTTTGAAATTTTTTGTTTTGTACGTATCCTTCTCTCTGCTGCCATTTGATTCATTCTGCTCTGCATGATTGTAATAAAAATATGAAACTAATTATGAGTCAGGAAAATGCACAATTTGCATGGGAATGTCTGTTTTTATTTATTCTTCTGGACATCAAACTAATTATTCTAAACTCAATACTGTACTCACTTCAACCATGTCACAGACTAGGCTGATGTTTGCTTAAATGAAGATCATTAATATCTATATTAAACTACTAACATAACATTAAAAAAATACAATTTTTATCATGTATATATGTACAATTCTAGTTACAGATCTACATGACAGAAGTCCTGTCTTCTGTATACTGTGAGCCTTTATCACATGTGTGTTGCACTCCTGTGATAATGCATACATTCAGTAAGTCTAGCATCACATTGTTTTCAGTATGCAGTAAATCTTTGCTAATCCACTTACAGTTAACCCAGATGTAGGATAATCTGGGTCAGAATATGATAAATGCTCTTCAAAGTTGAGTATGTACTTTAAAAGACACATGGAATTTAGGAAGGCAGATGAGTCACTTGTCTGTTCAGACAAAACTTGACAGTTTCTTCAAACCTGAATTATTATGTTCAAAAAGAAGTATAACTTCTTAGTTTTCTATCAATGAATAAACATGTTTGTCTTTTTATTGTCTTTAAATAAAGGCTCCATGGCGACATTTTTTTATTTATTTTCATCAGCACTACCTATATTATTGAATTTACCATTATTTGCGTTCTAAGTTTTTTGTTGTCTTTTAAGGCCACCTTCTACTTCACTAATCTGGATTACTGCTTAATCCAGGTGTCCCCCAATTAATCCAAGCTATCGAGGGTTTACTGTAAATACTCCTGAAATAAGTTTGGCTGCCAAAATTGCAGTAGCATAGGAATTAAATTTCCTACTTCTGGATGACAAACATAAATTTTACTCTGTTGTGGCATCAGTGTCATTTTATGACAATAATTATGTAAATAAACATAGATTTTAAATGCATTAGCATGCTAATATGAGTTCTGGAATGTAAACATTTTTTGTTTTTGTCAAATATCTTCTATGAATTAAAATGCTGGTATGGCACATACACACTGCCTGTTTGTTGTGGAACTTATCCAATAAAGAATAATCACTATAAAAGACTTTATTCTCTGGCATCCACTATAAGCTCAGCATGTTATAACTCTTTATTTGTTCTGTACTTTGAAGAAAGGTGCTGTATGTTTCTACGTTGCTAATGTGGTGGTGATGGACCGGCAGATTCTTATGAGTAAACTGTGATGACTGAAGTCTGATTGCCTCGAATAATGAGGTATGGAGGCATCCCCTTGGTGAGCAATTCAAGCCAGGCCATATACAAAGGAGCAGAAACAACGCCTTTCCTAGGTATTGGCAGTGCCCTGAAATTTGGAAAGTGATTGAATCATTTATTTTGAAAAGGTCATGAGTCATTAATTTGGATTTATTAATATTTTTTAGATTCTTATTCATCAAAATAACACCTACAGCATATTAAAAATTGTAATGAATATGAATAAGAGTGGATGACATCAGTTTAGTTTTGAAAGAGGTATTGGTCATGAGGTGAAAATTATCTGTTAAATAGTAAGATTCTGAAATAAAGTCTATGAAACAACACATTATTAATTTATTTTTATAGAGTTCCTTACCCCTTATGATACTAGTATATATATATTTTTTTATAAAATAAATGATATTAGGTAGGTTTGAATACTACATGAGTCACAAAGGAAAAATAATTTGTTACATACATGCATACATACACTACATTTCATGGATCCAGAGTTAGTAAAAAATTATTATAGGATGTGGAATAAGTCAGAAATGCACAAAACATACAGTATATCTAAAATAAAATTGAAGCTTTCACATTAAAAATAAAAATGTGAAATATTACTCAGAGTGTTCACTTAAGGTCTACATCAGTACTTTCTGCTTATGCTATTTATATAAACCTTTCAGTAGATTATGACACATTTTTAGATAAAAGGAATCCATCAACAGCGTATAATGAGAGTGTACTTAAGTATCTTTTTAGTAATACTTAAAATTGTGTCTTTTTATTCGTAAGACTTTTGAGGCTAGATGTCAGAATGTTGAAAATTTTGATGCCAGCACAGTATGCACTTTTCTGAAAACATGTAATACTGGCAGACGTTCTATGAAGACAGTGCTTGTTCCTTGTGTTAAGGACTGTGTATGGCTGAATAAGTCTGAAAATGTTTTCAGTTATATGCAACGAAGTTCATTAACGAAAATATATATTCACTTGGGAGACATAAGTTTTCTGATCTCTTAAACAGACCTCTATATTACTTTGTAGGTTTGACACTCGCCATGATTCTAATGTTCTTCTTTTGGAACATAAATATCTTTATGCTCTTAGATGACTTACCCAAGAAAATTTTTCCATACTTCATTTTAGAGTGAAAATAGACAAAATAAATTGATTTGAGAGTCTCAGTGTTGCTGATATGTAACATACATATATCTAACTGCAGAACATACTCCACACAACTTAGGAACCAACTGATCAATGTGATAAATTGTTACCAATTGGAAAACCAAGGTAAAAACCAATTTTGTGTTCATTGTTTCTTTATATATATATATTCATCATTATATCAGATGTTTAATGGATATCGTGGTGAACTGTTATAAACTTAATTGTATATACTTTATCCAAATTCAGAGCCAGCTTGCTAGCAGTAAATCATTTACTAGTAAGAGAGAGAGAAATAGCTCTGTTGGACAATATACAGAAATCATCACAAATTCTTCTAGAAATTATGACACTAGTATCACCAGTGAATATCAAGGGTACAGGTAGATTGTGTTTGGGAGGTCGTTTGTATGGATTATGAAAAGCAAGACACTAGGCTCAACCATTGGTGAACTCTATGTTTTATTGTTCCCCAGTCTGGAAAGGAATTTTGGGTTACATTAGATGATTTTATTTCGATCTTTTCTTTCTTTCTGTTCAACAGCACCTGAAACAAATAGCCACTGTCCTTAAATCCAGAAAAATATAATTTAGTTAGCAAGATTTCATGATTTACACAGTCAAAAGCATTCACCAAGTCATCCTCCAACATGCATTTTTTTGGTTAAGAGAATTTCATAGAATGTATGTTCATTTAAAGGCCTCATTACAGTGGTTCTACTGCTGAAGTCTTAACGCCAGTGAGTAGTAAGTGATTATAAATGTGGGCTTAATGGGCGATTAATTACAGGTGCACAAGCTTTAAAAATTGTAGTTGTTACTCCATCATAATATAAGGAGTTTTTCAGTTTGAGGGAATGTAAGTTGTCTTGCTGCTTGCATCTTGTCTGTTTATATTCACTTTGCGGATATCTCAAATGAAGTAGAGCATTTAAAATTTATGGGAACTGAGAAGACTATTACTTTTGGACAGTGCATATTTTTAATCATTTGTGCTTCATTTCCATTTATTTGGCTAGAGAACTGAGAATATAATGTATTTGTCTTATATTCAGAGAAGTTAATAACAGTATATAAGTATTTCACTTACAGTCTTGGACATTTATTTGAAGTAGAGATTGGTAAAAATTTGTAAAACTCAGCCTTTTTGCCATGTTTTAGCTCCTCATAGTTGATGCCTTTAAAGAGAAAAATCTGAATGACTGGAAACATGAAGCTGAATAATTTAAGATGACAGTGTATATTAGTAGGTATCTCACCCATTAACATCACTTCCTTCTGGGGGATCTCTTCCCAACTTGTTTGGGCAATGGCAGGTTTATATAGCTGTAAATCTGATTCTCAGTTTAATAGCATGATTGGACAAGTGAAATCTGTGTCAGAGAGCACATAGCTTCCACACATTTTTTGTAAGATTTAAATTTTCAGCTTCCACATGTGTTTTTTGAGCTTTGTATTCTCAGAGCATCTAGTTGTTCAGAATATCACTGATGAAAACAGTAAAGATTTTAAGTGAAAATCTGTTATTGTGATTACTTTGAATCTTATGATTGCTATGATTAATACGGCTACCGAATTTAGATAGCGATGCTGGTGTGGCTCCCATGTGTCAAATGTGTGTCTGCCATGTTATTATTACTGACTGTAGGAATTAGAAAGTACAAGCCTGGGCTGGCTTCCAATGTCATATTGTCCATCCATTTATCTGTCCATTCCCATCTTTTAACAAACATGCAGTCAGTCAGATATAATCTTTCCCATACTTGTATATATTACTTTATTGCACATTGTGCAAAAAAATGCACAATAATAACCATTTTCATCCACTCATTCATCATCTACTCATCCTCAGAGACATAATTTAGTACTGACATAAGACAATTACATGCACACACTCCTATGCCTACATTGTACAATAACCAGTTTTTTTATTAAGAACACAGATACAATGTTTCTGTTTGGTGAAACGTATTTGTTCCATATAATGTCTCTGTCTACACTACCATTTCTTTAAAGAATATTACACAATGTGCATGCTAATTATCTCATCTGCGAGAATTCCCTATATAATGGTAAGCTAAGGATTTCAATTCAGTGGGACTAAAATGGTTCTAAACAATTGTAAAAAATTATATTCTCATACAGAAATTTTATAAACAATTGTGGGTTTATTACTGGTACCTTTAAGTGTGATAAAAAGACATGGTATTTGATGTTCTTAAGTACAATACAATAAATGATTCCTACTTACATAACAATGAATGTAGATTCCTTTGAATACTGGAGTAAGAGTTCACGTATTCGCATGTGTCTGTTAGTTTTTTCCCTCAGTGCAATTAGTTCTGAGTCAGTGATGTAGGTTTGCTCTATGGCTGTGAAAGAAAACATGGTGATGAAAACATAATAACCATATTGCTCAAAATCAGAGGTGATTCTTCAGCAAATATGTGAACTAAGATTTTGAAAATATATTCAGATCTTAATGTACAATATTAATCCCTAATCCTACAACCTGAAGTGTATGCTAAATTGATGAATTACTGATCAATGAGCAGTTATAATGCAGTACTTTGTGTCTACATTTTTTATGTACCACTTGGTGTTAGCACTGTGAAAATAAGTAACTAACTGAATAATACTATACACTGCAATGCCACCTCTTGCCTATAATGAATATACAACTGACATATATAAAAAATGTAATAGCAATTTATGGGACCATCTACAGAACCGCAATGTGAAAACTACAACATAAAAATGGGGACCTCTTTGTGTACAACACAACATACAAAAGCAATACAAAACTCAACATATGTGGAAAATAAAAACAGCAGGGGTAACACAAAGAAAACACTTAAGAGGCCATGACACAATGCAGAGATATGGTAAAATAAGTAAGCAAATGTGATAGAGATTCCTAGAAGGGCCCCCACAAGTTGCTTTGCCCTACACCTAACCACCTAACAATGACAATGACAAAACCCGATGAACCTAAAAACTTTCAGCTCTTAAGCTGACTTAAAATCAATCCTTAAAATAAGAGTATAATTTGGGTAAATCATTTTAAGATTGAAAATATATTAATATTAATCCAAGCCATATATTTCATTTTAATTTTTATTCCTAATTTTAAAATCTGTGTATTTTTTAGATTATATTTTAACAAAAGGTTATATCAGCTAAACAAATGGTAAAATACTGTAATAATATGGATCCATATTAAGAATACAATTCAATGACTAAGATCACATTTCTGTAGACTTGCCTGATAATGACCTTGTAAGGTTCGAATCATGTAGTGACACTTTGCCAAATAAATGAATTGTGATACGTTAGCATCGATTTGTTTGTTGATGTAATTGTTGTGCAGATGGTCCCATAAAACGCTATTATATGACACACAACAGGATGCTTCTCATGAAGATATAGCACATGTAACCACCTGAGGATGACCTTATAATGATCAAAACATGAACGAATAATTTAATATGTAGTGTATAGTAATTAATAAATAATCAGACAAATGAACATCACTGTCATGCTGCATACAGAGGCACAAAAGTGTAACTAAATAAACATAAGCATCTGAAAGCATATAGGCATCACAAGACACTCTAAAATCTAGATGTTTATATCTAAAATTATGTTGTATATATGGTAAATAATTTTCATATGAAAGTTTTGCTGAAGTTACTTAATTTGTCATCTAGATATAATACCCTTGGAAGTCTCAAAATTTTCTTCATCCTTAACTCGGAAAGGCTGAATGAAAATTTCAAATTCTTTTCTGGTGGATTCCATAGCTTTTTTGTGGATGTCAGAGATAATGACAACATCACTGTAGTCAATCCGAAACTTGGACAGAAGAGCTGCAAGACTGCAATGAAAATAAATTACTGTATCAATAACAGAGGTATTATATTTGTAATTTATTTTATTTATTTATATATTTCAGGTTCCTTCAGTGATGTTGGTAACTCAGATGTGTCAGTAATGTCAAATAATAGGGCGTTTAGAGAATAAGAAACTGGGAATAATTTGGAAGGGGCCAGCTGCAGCTTGATTTTAGGTAACATCTGAGAACTTGCCTGGAGGACTGAGGAGTACCACAGAACCCCTCAGTCAGGACGGCTAATCTCTGGGCAAAGATTTTAACTTTGGAACTCTCAAAAAGGAAACTAAAGTGATATCCACTAGAACACAACATCTGGTGTTTCTCTGGACATAATGGTAAATTTTGTATCTACTAATACCCAGTCTGCTGTAATTTGAATACGATATTGTTAAAAAGAGACTATATCAAAAATAGTATTTGGCCTCAATAATATGAAGAATTTTGGAAAAAACATTATACCCCATATCCTATGGGAACAGGGGTGTGTCATGTAAATGTAATGTGTGCTGTAAATGGTTACATCTTCATTAGAAAGTTACTAGATTCTGCTTTGAACATATTTCCGTTATTCACACATCATGGATTTCTACAGTAACCACTAAAGCAGGCAGCTACAAAATTCTATCTAAAGTTCAGGATGAGAGCAATCAATTATTGTAATAAAGTAGTTTCTGCCCACAGCTGGTAACATTTTACTGACTTCCTTCTGTACTAACTTTGATGCCAACAACATCTGATACAATAAAATTAAATAAAACTGACAATTGGTGTTTGAATTATGAGCCACATTCATGGTCCTCACGACGTTGTAACAGAGTTTCCTAAATGGATGAATGGTCTTGATTTATTTAATGATGCTTTGTCAACTCTAGTGGTTATATAGTGTCAAATGAAAAATTACATTCACTCATAGGAATGATGAATTGGGAAAATGTGCTAGGAAGTGATCATGGTATATATTCAGGGAGGTCTACTGCAATAGTATTTGCCTAGAAGAGAATGAGAGAACAATGATAATTTCAATCCAGAGGATAGCTAGTGTCCTACATAAGACAGAAAAATGTTTTACACAATTAAGCTCAGAAATATTCAGATTAGAGAACAGATGTCATCAGACTGAAACCTCTTCAAGATGGGGAGATATATATATATATGTAATTTACGAAGAAAATGTGAAACAACAAGGAGTGTATGTTGATGAATGAGGAGAAAATAAGATGTAACAAGGATCTTGTTTTTATTATTTTAGAGAGGAAGAACGTCTGAAGTTCTTAACACATTGGTCTGTTCTGTTGAATGATTCACATTACTATGTGCAGTTCAATGAGGAATCATGCACTTCTGAAAGAGAAGGACAGACATACACAAGCTCCCCTTAGTATCCACTTTACGAATTTTATACCCTTAAAGTCACTACTTCAACAATTATACTCCTATTCCAGTGATTCTACTTTTTAAAACATGCAGACTATTAAACAAAAATATACATTGTTGTTCAGCTTTGTACAGTTGTTCCTCAGTTATATTTGGACTAGAAAAGAGGGTCCAAGGGTGGCATAGATCTGTAGGCACACAGAAGTTGTGCTTTAACTACGCTAAATATGGAAACTAAAGAGTTTGATTTATGGTGCACTTACTTGACATGCAGGAGACAAGTTCACTTACTTCCTTTGATCCTTATCTAAGTCATCTCTTTTGCTTGCAAGAGAGAAGATGCGCAGCTGACAGCCAGAAAACTGTGATCGTGTACTCAATATATATGGAATTAAAAGTGCCAGGCCTAGAAAATATAAAGTACACTTCTGAAGTAAAATGATTTGATAGAGACTATTAGTTCTTGAACTTCATACTTCATAAATTTCTTCCTTTGAAAATTATTAATACAGTACAATCTTAATTATCAATGCACAGATTACCTGCTCTATAACCTTTTTGTGTGCTATTTTTTTTAAATGAGTTCACAACTCTGTGGACTGCCAGCTAAGTTTGCTCAATTCTTTTGCCTGTCCATTTGTCAGTCTGTATTAATGAAACAACTAAAGAACTGGATGGATTTTCATGACATCAGATACCAGAAAACTATATAAAAAATTATTGAGCTGCTTCAATTTCCATTTAGATCAGAAAATATAATGACTGCTTTACACTGAGGACTTACATATGATTTTGTGCACATCTCAAGCATAGCACAGTAATATTCATCAGAACAAAAAATGTTTCAAACCAAAGGTGTAGAGAGAAATTAAACATACATTTTATTTTTAATAAACTTTTTCCAAGAGTCTTCTTGTTTTTGAGACAAACACATCAAATACTATGCATGCAATTCTGAATTTCTATATTTAGCAGTATTCTAAGTTATCCATGTTTTAAATTATTTGTGTGCTTTTTCCCCTTCATACATACATACATACATACATACATACATAGCATTCCATAGATCCATGAGTTAGTCAGATGACCTACCGGATGTGGAATTTGTCAAAAATCATACAATACATATATACATGCACAATTCAATTTCACATAAATAGTAAGGATTTCACAAAAGTAGTAAAATATCCATCATAAATCCATACATTAACATATACTAGATTTTTTTTTNGTCCCAGGACAGATCCTTGGGGAACTCCATGCTTTACTGTTCTCCAGTTTGAGAAAAAATTTTGAGTATATTTGGGTGATTTTATCTCAACCTTTTGTTTTCTATTTGTTAGATAGGATAGCAGGGGTAATCAGAAGTACTCTATATACAGAGCCCTATCTTCTCTGTGTGAATTTATGTTTTCTGAATCCCTCTCTGATATCCATTTCATATGACTTCTACTAGCAAAGCAAGAAATTTGCATAGCATAACACAAATCACTTAATTTCTCAGTGGAAACTATCCAAATGAAACAGATTACAGGAAATTACATTTATCTGAAAGAAACAGAATATACTCAACCACATTGGTGACATTTCTGTGATTATGCCCTAACAGTTATCTTCTTCTAATATGATGTTAGCAGCTGTAATTAAATTTCATGACAATGGAATTTTAATTTAAGAACTGTGTTGCTAAGCTCATTAAACCTGTGCATGTGCTGGCACTGCTGTGTTGTAATGCCATGCAGTTTGGGTAGGGTTCCATTTGTCAGAGTAACATATGACTTCCATTTTCAAGGTTGAAGAGTAAACCAAGCAGCAAGAAACCAGCAAAGCAGGCAGCAAACTGAGCTTGCTTGGTTTACTCTAGGCTCAGTTTACTGCCTTCTTGCCTGGCTCACCCTATGACCCTGAAGATGGAAGTAATATATTCTTCTGATATACCAGGCTGTCTTCAAAGTACATCATGTTACAACACAGAAGATAATTCTCTTAAAATAATATTGGCACAGAGCAAATTTCTTGTACACCTGTTGAAGTAGTTTTGTATCCTCAAGTGATTCTGTAGAAAACTGACACAGTGACATATTCATGTTAATGAATATGTATACACATGTGTATGTGTGTGTGCACGCGCATGAACACACACACAAGACACAGACACCGAGGTGATCTCATTTTCTCAAAATAAGGAAAGCAGGTTAATAAGCACAGATCAAGCAAAATTAACATATAACTTGATCGTGCCATAGCTCAAGTGGTTAGTCGCTGGCTTCCCACCGCGGCGGCCTGGGTTCGATCCCGGGTCCGGTCAAGTGGGATTTGTGGTGGACAAAGTGACGCTGGAGCAGGTTTTATCCAAGTACTTCGGTTTCCCCTGGCAATTTCTTTCCACCAATTGCACCACAATCACCCTCGCCTATCATCTGGGGCTGGCACAGTAGGCCAGAAGTGGCCGCAGTACAAGGGACTTAGTCCCACCCCACTAGCAATAAAAAAAAAATTAACATATAACTTGCAACAATGTACCTCCATCATCGTACAGCCACCACACATCAATTAGACCTTTGGGCTGCTTTCTCTGGAATTGTGTAATGTTGTTCAAGATGGATTTTGGTAGAGGCTCTCCTCCAGGACCAACATATGTTGGAAAGCTTGACTTATGATTTTTTGACACTTTTCTCATTTTCTTGGAAGTAATTGTCACTGTAGTACTAGACTGAAGCAATTTCTCTGTTGCTGCTGGGTCACAGTTCACAGTTCCTCCATGTTGCATCTTTGGTGTCACTGGAGGACTATCTGTGTCACTGCTCAATGCATCTGATAAGACAGTGATATTCACATCTGCACATAAACATTAACAAAGTTACAGACATTGTGTCACCAAAAATAAATTATGCAGGTTAATGTGTTTCTTTTTTCTTTAATTTGTATTTAGTTCATTTTTCAGTTACAGGATGTAAGGACCATCAAAGAGATATTCAACCAAAATATGGTTCTTAAATTAAACAAGTTATTCTAAGAACTGAAAAGGGTGTCTAGTTTTTCTAATAAAAGAAGAACTGATACATCAAATTCAGAGTGATATTTGTAAGGGGAAGAAGAAGAGCCTGCTTATAATGTTTAATATTCTATGAAGTGGATTGTTTATCTGTTGCATAAAGCCATAAAGTTTTCAGCTAAATACTCTAAAGGTGTTGATTGGTTAAATTTGGAACAGAAGTTCCAAATTTGACCACTGAACTAGAAGAAAATTTCCATTCTTGAAAATTATTAAATATGAACATTATTTTAATATGAAGTTATACTAATCATGGAACAGATCATTACAGTGACAAAATTAAATAACTGTTCCTTAGAGCACAATAGTTTGAAGTAAAAAATGTTTATGATCATTAACTGAGGGAATGCAGATGCCATGTAGTCTACATATAAACCTCAGTACTTCAAGTAATTTTAGAAATTAGGGGGTTCCCAGTTTCTTTAGATTAAAACTATGGGACGTGGTAACATAATTGGTTGAGGCACTATGCCGCAAGCTGAGAGGTTGTGGGTTTGATTTCCGATGAGGTCATCGGATTTTTCAATTAACATAATCCTTCCAGCTGCACAATGATCCTGGGTTCGACTCAGCCTATAACAGAAATGAGTATCAGGAATTTTCTCGGGGGAAAAGAGTTGCTGGCACGTCAGGCTGCCAATCTCACTGCCATCTGCGAGCTGAATGTCCAGAAAATGAGGGAACCTCAACCTCAACACTATGGGCCTCCACAGCCTGTTACAGGGATAGCTTTACCGTTTTTACCTCACCCTTAAGGTATTATTAATACTACAGGTAGAGGATAGTGCAACTTCATTTCAAATAGTATGTATCTGAAACTAAAAGGCTAAGTTTTTGTGTGTTTACTACAAGAATAGTACTAATACTCAAAAACATTATAATAATTATTTATTCTGTGAAAGAGGTTTTTGGTTCTATCTTTTATCACCTTGTGATTCAAGTTGGTTTGTTGATTCGTTGCGTCTCATTTTCTCCTCTGCATCCTTTTTGTCCAATTTTGAGATTGGCACAAACTCCTCATCTTGAATTACACCTGAGTAGTCAAGTCCTTCTTGTACCCTCAATATGCCAACAGCAAGGTATCGATCCAGTGCATTACTGTGCATGAAAACATTTCATCACATCTTGTTGTGCACGGTGAAATATTTGTCAAAAAATATTCCTACTTTTTTAGGAGGGGAGGTTTATGGATGTGCTCACCTACAGTCTTAACCATATTCAACAACTAGAATTTCTAGAATATTGGTAAAATATCCATATGTGTTTATGACACATCATGCCATCAGAATGGAAATCTATAAGACTGGAGCAAGCTGAAGGTTGGAACCTGTTCAACAGTAACTTTTGCGAATACAAGCATTTCTATTCTTGAACAATAAATTGCACTGAGGAGGATGCATTTAGCATGCATGGGAGAGAGCAGAAATATATACATAATTTTAGCTGGAAGGCCTGAAAAAAAAAATACAACTTGAGAGACCTAAGCATAGTTAAGCAGGTAATAATACAATTGAACCTTGGTATTCTGAACTTACTTGTACAGTACCACCCTCCTAACCCCTTCCCAAAGAACAACACCTCCAGAAATTAAAAAATTATTGTGACTGTTTTACTTCCTTGCAGTAAAAACGAATACTTGTGAAACATGTAAAAATATTATACTGCAGCTTCATATTGTGTGTAAGACATAGCCATTCATGCAGGCAACACACTTTCCACATAAGAGCAGGCCATGGGAGGAAAAGAAAAAAAAACACAAACAACACATCACAACCCCATAGGGCAACATATAGCCAGATCAATATAAGATCTTGGGAAGAATCCCACGAAAAAACAAGAAAGCTCATTGGCGGGCACCATCTCAAGATCTGGAGCACAAAACAAAAGGGATACAATGACATAAAGCGAAAGGGGGTTATGTATATATATACACCATTTAACACATAAATTAATTTTAATTCCTATTACAATATTTTAACACTTTAAAGAATATTAATTTTAATATCTAATATATGTTATAACATAAGGACATTACATAAATAACATACCCATACAACGGATTCCCAATGTGTAAACACTGGCCAGTGTAAGGAGAAACAGCAGATAGAAATAATGGTGTTTGTAAAAGGTCTGTGTACTTGATGATGGTCACAATAGGTCAGAATTTGTAGTATATTCAAATGCAGGATGTGGTTATAGCACAATGTTAACTGAATAATAATAACCATGATATTATACATTAATTGTCCCGCTTCTCTAGCTGGTGAAGGATGTAAAACAGTTACTGCTTGCAACAAGCGTGGAATGGAGTCAAATATCTGCAGATTCTGGTCATTGTTTATGTATAAAATGTACCTATACATTTTTTTAATAAATAATTTTACTAAAAAATATAAATTTTTATTTGATATCCAACAATCCAAATTATCTGATAATACAGTCACACCTGTGCTTTAATTCATTCAGATCCCTGAGGTTGCACTGTATTAAAACGAAAGAAATAGGATGTGAGTGTGCAGACTGAATTCACTTGTCTGAGGACTGTAACTGATGGTGTACCATTTTAAGCACTGTAATAACCTTTGGAGAACTCCTTCACCAGCCGAGGACAAGCTGGTCAGGGTCTTGAACAGAGACCAACATCAAGGTGACATGAGCTAGCTGAAAGTGCCATAACAGTCCTGCTGGGCATCTACTCTGTTCTGAATTATTATTATTATTATTATTATTGTTGTTGTTGTTGTTGTTGTTAGAGGGGGTGGGTTTCCCCATGCACTTAGACCAGTTATTGGCTGTTCTGAAGTAGGTATTTGCTCCATGCATTTAGTTAACAATAATCTAGGAACAAGGATTCATTTTAGTTTGCCGGTGAAACTCCAGCTGCCAATTAACAGTGTCAGAACCAGTGTATTCCATAATGTAGTATATACAGTTTCTTAAAACATTCTTTGAGGTACAATATTAAGTTTGCTAAAAATAGGAAGAATGAAATACAAATTAGTGAAATTCTTCCATGCTGAATTTCAACAAATTTTATAAACAGATTTATGGAATACAGTGAAAGTCCATTTATGGCACCAAGCTGGCAGGTAGAGTGTAAATAATCTTAACATTTATTTGGGTGGTGCTCGGTTTGAATCTTGGCTGGGACACAAACTATCCTGACTCTGATTGTCATCTGGGATGTGACACAGCATAACTGAGTTGATAAGTACAGCTTCATAGGAACCTATTATCTTTATCTTCATGATAGTCATTCTTAGCCTCAGTATATGATTCCTAGAACTAACCCTTTCACTGTTCTGGATGAAACAATTCTGCTATAATCAGAACTATTCAATCAATTATAAGAACTGCTGTAACATAAATATAGTACAAAACACAAATCCAGTGTTAATGATAAAAAATGAGATGAAATGATTTGAGGTTAGAGAAAACTGCATGATGAGACGCTTCATAACTTGCATTCTTCTCCAAGTATAATTAGAATGATCATGTCAAGGAGGATGAGATGGACAGGGTATGTAGCACGAATGGGGGGGAAGAGGAAGGCATTTAGGATATTGGTGGGAAAGCCAGAAGGAAAGAGACCACTAGGAAGACCAAGACATATGTGGGTGAACAATATTACAAGGGATCTTAGAGAGATAGAATGGGATGGGATGGATTTGATTGATCTGGCTCAGGATAGGGTCCAGTGGAGGGTTCTTGTGAATACGGTAATGAACCTTCAGGTTCCATAAAATGCTGGAAATTTCTTGAGTGGCTGCACAATTGGCAGCATCTCAAAAAGGGCTCAGCTCCATGAATTAAATGATAAAAACTAATGTATGTGGGGTTTTATGTAGTTTTGTCATTACTCCGATGACAACCCACTTCATCGGAACAGTTTGTTGGTCCTGAAAAGGACCGTGGTTGCTGAGATGTTTGATTGGTGAGGTAGTGCGGTGCGTGCCGGTAGGGAGAGAGGTTAGTTGCGGTGATTTGACTGGCCACAGCGCGGCCGTTGCTGGAGGTTGCTGGATCGCCGTGCGGCAGGAGGGTTGAAGTTGCGTGGTCGTGCAGCGCGGTCGTAGGAGTGATGAGGCAGTGGCTACGCCAGATGCCCAGTGGGTTGGACAGGGACACGACCACCAGTGAGTCCAGGTGAGGTGCCTCAGTGCGTCAGGTGTGAGAGACGGAGGGCCGAGGCAGTCGTGCCTGGTGCAGCCTGCCAATGCCTCCGAAGACCGAGTGCTGGCAAAGAAGCCTGCTAGCTGATGTTGCTTGAGTGTGGCTTGATCGTAGACTGAAGTCAAACTGATGCTGCCGATTCGAGGCTGCTCCTTTTTATACACTGCTTGGTGGGTGGAGCGAAACTTGAAATTGAGGAGGAAGAATTTGCAGGGCGCTGATTGGCTAGTGCGCATGATGATGTAGATGCGGGGCTAGCTGCGAGCGCAATATAAATGCGAACGTTTGGAGCAATTTGATTGGTTAGCGCGCGTGATTGTGAAAAGTGATGTGAAGAGTGTGTGTTGCAGAAAATGCGTGATAATGTGGGATGTTCCCACATGCATTTACATATGATGGGATGAAACACTACACTTGATTTCCATATCTATATAATTGGGTGAAAAATAGGTAATAAACAGACCATTGACATTACACTTCACCAGCAGTGAAAGGATTAGGACAAATGTTTTGGTACAGAAACATATCACTAACTGGATAACGTTGAAGTACTGCTTAAGTTCTTCTCGATCACATGTTCTCCAATTTCCTTTGTATCCCATAAGAATCATGTTTGGACGAAGTTTACCAAGTCCTGAGATCTGCATCAATGCTTGAGAGCCAGCTTCAAAGCTGTCATCTTCTACAATATTAAAAAATGCTTTCACTTTATGTCGTATTAACCAGTGGTATGCTTTTCTGGTTAGAGCATCATGAACTCTCTGGGAGTGGGTTCCCTGTGGATAGATTTACAATATCTCAGAAAAAACAGAATAGTGATAATATGCAATGGTTTTTATTGTCACAGTCAGCAACAGAAAATGTTACTCAACAGCATGTGAATTCTAAATATGTAAAATGTCAGTCATACATAGATAAAATGTCATGGATGAGTAGTTAATACACAAGCTTTATAGTCAGGAACGCTTTAAGTTTATTTTTCAGCAGGTGGGACAGGCTGTAGTGAGCACTACAGCATGTCCTGCACACTATGGTAGTCCTCAACAGAATACACATAATAGTATACAGATGGACATAAATCCAAACACACACAAAATTTTATGTGCCAGTAGTAGGAAAATGGGGGCACACGGTAGCATAGTTGGTTGAGGGGCTATGCTACAAGCCGGAAGGTCGCGGGTTCAAGTCCTGATGAGGTCATTGGATTTTTTCAATTGACCTAATCCTTCCAGCCACACTATAGCCCCGGGATTCACTCAGCCTCTAACAGAAATGAGTACCAGGAATTAATTAAATAATTTTCCTGGGGAGTAAAGTGCGGCCGGTGCTTAAGGCTGACAATATTACCGCCACCTTTGAGCCGATTGTCTAGATAATGTGGGACCCTCAGCATCTCACAACCCTGTGGGTCTTCATGGCCTGTTACAGGGATAGCTTTATTTTACTTTACTCTTTTTTAGTAGTAGGAAAATATGGCTGTCAACATGTTCATGTACTCATACAACAAAATTTTTAATTAATTTTAAATGATATTGACTCTCATTTTCAACAACACAATTTATTTTAATTGCACTAGTATTTTAGTCTACTCTCATTTCATTATGACAGGCACCATTAATGACAACCTGTGTTTATCATACATGTAAAGAATTTCTTTGAAGTGTTGGCCTTGCCTTCTGATGCTAGCCAGTGGTGGCTGAAACGTATAAAGGCTTTACTGTTAAACTTGTTAGCATCTATGAGCCTTGCTCCTCATTCATTTGCTTGTGATAATGTCTCAAATGAAGTTTTGTTGGCATTTAGTTAAGCAAGACCACTAATCTCAGTAGACTTGTAAATTCAAAGGGAGAATTTCCTTTTGAGATTAATTTTCTCCCTCAAAATTTTATGATGTTAGTTGACATAACCCAATTCAGCAACTGATAGCGTCAGCTGATATAGGAACTTCAAGAGATTTTTCTGGCAGCTTTTGAATGCAGAAGAATTTTTACTATGTCTTTGTAGGCAACAATTAATAACGTTTTGACTATTGTATGTAGCCTTTCTGTTCTTACAGTAGGTTCAGCTACTTTATAACTAGCTTCTTGGACTTCTCCAAAGTTTGCACTGATAAAGTCATAAATTTTAGCTGCTTTTTGTTCTGTTCCATCAAACAATGAAAACAGCTTAAAGCCCTCCAACACAAAGAATGATGCTTTGATTTAAATATCAGTTTACTTCATTTTAATTAATTTGCATACTGGGTGGTGGAGTCCAGCTGGATCCACTCTGCATGTTGGCCAATGATTGGCCTATTGCACCTGCCCCAGGTGATTATGATTATGGAGAATTTTGAGGAATGAAGATTGGCAGGGGAAACCGAAGTCTCAGAGAAAACCTGTCCCAGGGCCACTTTGTCCACCACAAATCATACTTGACCAGACCTGGGCTCGAACCTGGGCCACTGCAGTGGGAAGCCAGTGACTAACCGCTTAAGCTATGGCACAGCCTTTACCTCACTTGGAACCACAGCATTATTGCTAAGTTTTTCTCCACACAGAAGACACTTAGGCATCAAACATGCTGCTTCACCACACCAGAAAAAGCGAAATACAAACGGTTATCACTACACTACTGACACATTGATTTTGGTCTCTCTTCTCCTGAGCCATTACTTTCACTTTCAGTACTAACCCCGCTTGATGAAATACATCTTACAATGAATTTGTCAACGATGGAAATTGCTGTAAATGATGGGGAATGCAAGACAGTAAAACCACACATTTTTGACTACCACTGTTCTCAGTTTTAAAACCAATAAGGAACACATCTGTGAGAAGACTGAGAAAAACTGTGTGGGTGAATAAAGAAATAAATTCGTGAAAATGGGATTCCATAATGCCAATACTATTGTCTGTAATAGCTTATTATGGTCATAACTGGCTTGAACAAACAAAGCATATATTCACGTATTGTTGTTACTAGAAAGTAGGACTAAAACACAGTATAGAAAACAGATAATAAATGGTTCAAAAATGTGAAGTTAAATTAAAAATGACAGTGCCAAATAAAAATATTGTTCATGAAAAAATTAAGAGCAGTTTAAATTCAAGAAATGTTTGTTACCATCCAGTTCACAATAATTTGTCTTAATATCTGCTATCCAAAATTGTAAAGGTAAATATACACAGAACTATACATTTATCAATTTCTTGGGTGTGTGTGAAATATGGTTTCTGATATTAACGGAGGAACATTGGTTTTATGTGTTTGAGAACAGGCACTAATAAAATTATGTGTGTGGATTTGTGAGGGAGGAGATGATAAATGGCTGGACAATTACATGAGGGTCTTTATAATTTGTGCAGTCCACTGATTATTATTAGGACTATAATATGTAGCTCCTGAAAAGACAACCAGAGTAAATACAGAAACACATCTGCTCTCTGTAGACTATGTAAAACATAAAATGATTTAAAATAGCACTGAAAAAATACTTAAATACATATTCATTCTACTCTGTTGATGAATACCTATTGTCTAGAAAATAACTTATGTATCTTTAAATAGCATTCTGTGTAGTCACTACATATTCTTGGTTTCTCTTGTGTGGGAACTCCAATGGGACTGTAAATGTGTTTTGTATTTATATGACATATTCTACATCCTACAGGCATTTTGACTAACTTTGGATTTATGGAATGCAACGCAATGTAATGTAATGTAATGTAATTCAATCTTATGAATGTTCTGCTAGGACAATTTTGTAGTGTACGAAGGAAAGCTGTACCGGAAACCACAATATTAAGGTCAACTAAGTCATACAGTACCGTTAAGACCACCTGAGAATACACTGACCTCCAAATGGAAAACCAAAGATCATGTTATGAAGGAGCTCAATTTGAACCTCTGCCAGGACACCAATTGTACTAACAGATTTTTGGTGATGTTTCTAGGTCCCTATAGGTAAATTCAAGGATAGTACATAAATATAAGGCCATGAATGTTTCAATCTACATCCTTTTCAATTCATTATTCACTACCATCCAGTCATTCAACATTATGTAGTATGATTTACTGACAGTGTCATTAAATAAACTACAAATACATATACACAATACGTGTGTGTGTATGTGTGTGTGTGTGAGTGAGTGTGTGTATGCATATATATATATATATATATATATTCAGGTTTTATGAATTTCTGGAAATAAATATTAAGCTTTACTTACCTTGAGAATATCAGCACATACAAGCAAAGACAGTCCCTTTGTGATGAGGTATGCAAAGTCAACAAGAGGGGGCCTGGATCCGGGCATACCAGTAAGAACAAGGACTTGTGGGCGGAAGTTTTTGACATGTTCTTCTACTCGATTTAGTTCAAGCATTGCCTTGAGTGCAGAGCTGTATGAATGAGCCTGTGTTGAGCTGCCCCAGTTTACCTCTGTAAAAGTACACAGTAGAGACATGTGATCAATTTTGCATTTAAACGTTCTACTGTATTCAATGAAAGGGTGTAACTGTACAAGAAAACACAATGTAGACTTAAAAGGATTCTGACAATGGTGTTTGCTGTACAGAACTATTAGGCTTATTTTGGACTCTATCCATCGTTTGATATATATAAGACAAAAACCACAACGTTTCAGAGACTGAATCTGTCTCCGTCCTCAGGTGGATGAGCTAGTCACAGTCACTGGACACAATGTGCTTTATTGAAAAAGTGTACAGAGTGTTCTAACAAGAGATATTTGAACCTTTGCACAGAAAGTAGTTATAAAGGTGGATATGCTTCAATTCTATGTAAATCCTTTGTTATATTCGGTAAAGTAAAGTAAAGTTATCCTTGTAACAGCCTGTGAAGGCCCATAGGGTTGTGAGACGTTAAGGGTCCCACATTATCTAGACAATCGGCTCAAAGATGGCGGTAAGGTTGTCAGCCTTACGTGCCGGCTGCGCTTTACTCCCCAGGAAAATTATTTATTTAAATCCTGGTACTCGTTTCTGTTAGAGGCTGAGTGAACCCCAGGGCCATAGTGCGGTCGGAAGGATTAGGTCAATTGAAAAGAATCCAATGACCTCATCAAGATTTGAACCCGCGACCTTCTGGCTTATGTGAAAAAGATTTGGAATTTCACCAGGATTTAAAAGACTACCTCAAGATTTCCACTGTTCTATCCCATGCACCTATGTACATGAAGGAAGAGCAGTCACAAAAGGACCAATGTGCTCACAGCACCTTTGGCTTACACTGCTTTCTTCCCTCTCATACAGGTTCAGTGTGCATTCAGTTATTCATAACAAAAACCGAGGAGTTTCTTGTAAACACAACATTCAATACTTGCCCATGATTTATTCTAACTGTCTTACAGTGCATACATTTATTCACCTTACCGTTCTCTCTTGCACTACATGTTTCAGCACAAAAGTGCCATCTTCAGGTGCTTTTCAATGTACGTCAAACTACTTCATTGCATGCCCTGTTGTCTTTATACTAAAATAACTAAAATATATATTCATCATATATATTGATAAATTTTAAATATTAAAAATATTAAAACTGTTCAGGATTTGTCATCCTTATGTCGTATCTCAATACGCAAGTCACACCTATCTTCTTCTATCGGAGTATTCTTCTTACTTTCGTGTGTGTATCTGTAACGTGAAATTGTTCAATACTTGCATTCAGGAAGTGCTCAGTTTTAATCTTGGTCAAAAGATTACACATTTTGCTGAGGTTTCTGTGGCTTTCCTCAGTCCCTCTTGGCAAATAACACAACACCTCCATTAGGCCATGACTCCCTCCTTTCCAATTTATTATTAATTAGTCATCCCACCATTTTATAGTCCAGACTCTGACAGCACGATAAAGAAAGGCCATGTAAGTGAAATTGTATTAAATAAGAGTAGAAGAAGCAGGAATAAGGCTAAGTGTATGCAGACACAATATATAAACAGATGCAGGTTTTATACATGTTCGAGACTAGATTACAGCAATACTATAACACATTTCGTTCACTATGCAAACTCATTTTGTTAGCCAAATATTTAGTGTTGAAATTTTATTTCTATATTTACAGAACTTGCTCTGTACCATCTCACATTTTATTGTAACATGTTCTCTCTTGAATGTTTAAATTTCATTTTAAACCCATGGACTATGCAGCAGTAGCCAAATCGACCTACATGCCATTTTCCTTGAAAAATGGAACGCTTCTATGAAATGAACACTGGAACATATTTGTTTTCTTTAAAAAGTGCATTGGATATTCAAGTTACCTGTGGGCTCAGCACTGAAAATTAAATAGGTAATTACACATAGCAGCAAAGCCTTCACTAATAAATGTGGTGCTTTCTTCTCCATGAAATCTAGGATTCGACACCATTAAACTTCTACACAGGACTTGCATACTGCCACTATTCCTATACACAGGACACAGCTGTCACCTCAACTTCATGAATTGCATGGTAATTTTCTAAATCCCATTAGAACTGTTCATGTAGCCACATAAAGTAATCAATGTCTGAAAGAAACCACATACACCACCAGATTCTTGCTTCAAAATTTGGGGGTATATTATTTTGCACAACCAGTTTTGTGAAGTCATATTTTTAACAGCTTTGTTTTAGCAGGATCTGAATTTCTGACAAGCACAATGGAGAACCAAGCAGAGAAATATTTTTGTGTGTTTTCTAAATGAGTGCTAATACCGTCCAATTCCTCTTCAATAAAAATGTCACATTTTGTCTTGCATCAATCCTGCTGTTTTACGTGGTCCTGTAAAGTACTTTCTGCAACAATTACATGTGCTCAGTGAGAAGGAAAAACTCACTGGGCAGAGTTTAGTGTTGACGATGACTCCATGTACTATGATCTGTGAAAGTTTTTTGGATATTACATCATGATATCTGTTGAAAAACAATGAAATAGTTCTCTGTTAGCCAAGATGTTGGGTTCTGTTGCCACAAACAGAACATGTTCACTTGAGTGACACACGTTGTTAATATATTTTCTTTTAGGGATTATTTAATGACGCTTACAGTAGCTGAGATTAAATTGTGTTGAACATTAGGATGATTAGTGAATAATTACTTGGGAAGGATATGGAAGAAAATGGTCATGGCCTAATGCAAGTTACTAATCTGATATTTCTCTACAGGGCCTGAGGAAATCTACAAAATGAAAAAAAAAAATCTTGACAGTTAGCTTCCCAGTAGAGACTTGAACTTGTGACTTAGTGAATGTGATTCAACATCATTGTTTGATAAATCTGCTAGTCATACCTGGCTTGCGGTAGGAGACGTAGAGATAGAGTGTGATGACGACCACAAATGTGATGAGTGCCATCACCCAAGACATAAGGAACATGACAGCAATGCACAGCAATGTTCCAGCAAGACTCACCCAAGCATTGTAATACTGAAAGAAAAATTGAAAATTTAATAATGTTAGATAAGAAGAATAATACGATTTCATGTTACATATAAGTTTTCACTCTTACTGACAGCAGTTGAGGAATGTATCAAACTAGAGTAAATAGTAACCGGGCATTAATTGTGATAAAAATAAATGAATGTTTTAAATATTCTTTGAAAGATTTATTTTTCTAAGAACTTCCTCATGATTTTATTTTTATTTTTGGCCTATTCAATCAATTCTATAAATGCTCATCATATCACACCAGATGTAATGTTTGTACAACCATGGCTTACTTCTTCTTAAATCAGTAGAATTTCCTCTTCTACAGATATAACAGATGTGGTAGAACATTGTGACCTTACCCAGGAATAGTAACAACACTGAAACATTAAACTAAGCTAATGCTATTCTTGCTGCAAGAGAGGAACGTCGTATTACTTCTTGCCAAGAGGTCAAAGTGGTTTCCTCTTTATGTCTATGTATACACAGTGGCATCACATAGAAATTGTCTTCATGGCCAACATTTCATTTGGAAGGTAATTAATTTTTTAAAATGGAGGCAGAATGTATGTCAGAAATACTGGCTATAAAACCCATTGCTACCTGGCATCACCACAGAGCTCCAAGACCAACATAAATGCTGAAATTCTACCATAGCCTGAAATTGGTGTATATGTTTGTATGGCAGGTTGGATTAACTAATTGTTACATAACTGTCTATGTAAACAATTGCTTTTGGTACAGGAGCTTCCTTAGGAATCAGATATTCATTCACCTGGGGCAGATATTCCTTGCTTATATGGAACAAGAAAGCAGACTATAGGTTCATAAAAGCCTGCTATCATACCCTGTTCTGAACTGATTTGGTGCAGTCACACTTCGATGAACAAAGTTTAAAAATACACTTTAAATTTATTACCATTATTTTACACATAAAGCAAAGTAAACTGCCATTTCAAAATACACAACCTTTATATCATGAATTAGTTTAACAATGTATGCAGGTCATGTGTTATGAATTAATTGTTTAACAACTATGAAACTAATAATTCAGTTCAGTTTACATGACATGTAGAGGGTCAGTACACAACTGTAGGTCATTTGTTTACATCCGTCTTGGCAAATCATTGGCACACAATTCAAAATTGCCGTCAGCTGTCATGAACCACTTTCTTCTCTGTGTGAATTGTGATATAACAAGACTGCTGTTTCTGTATCCAACAAGTCTATGCAATGAACGCTAAGTGATAATGATAATGCAGTAAAAAAAAAGAGAAACTCTCACATTAAAGCAGAAAACGTAATTCAGTCATATAACTGAAGATGGTAAACATTAGGTGACTGTTGGTAGGTGGTTTTTCTGTTTATGCAGTAAAAACATGTTAGAATAACACTGATAAAGTTAAGTTCGCTGATCAGTCTGGTAGTCATTTAATTGTCTGAAATTTGACTAATACAAGAAATCTGCATATAGAGGAGATGCTAGGGATGTGGGTTTAGATCAGAACCAGTGGAACTTATCTTCCAATTCTTCTGTGATAATAGCAAGTGGGGGATATTTATATATGTACAGGCAAGTCAATTCATAAAACACGGTGTAAAGAACATGAATGACAACTACATTTGTATCAACCAGACAAGTCCGAAGTGGCAGAACACAGCACTGAATCAGGCCATTGGATAAAGTTCCATGAGATCGAAGTACTAGCCAGAACATGGACTGACTTGCCAAAGAAGCAATAGAAATAGAATTAGATCTAAACAGAAAAGAAGATTTCAAACTATCAAAGCATAGAATGCCAGTACCAGTTTACTAAGGCATCCCAGCACACATGTAACATGAAAATCCTAAGAAGACAGCAGAGAGCACATAAAAAAGGAAACAATATTGTATGACAACAGGGACTCCATATTAAGCAACAAGGTGAAAGGTTAAGAGTTGGATGAGTGACCACACAGTTTCATTCCGCCCTTATACTACATAATACTCCAATGGGAAGAGGCACTAATTTGACACACTAATATGAAAATCAGTGATATATGGTCATTCACCACATTAACCCTCATGATGGAGACTGAGGAGATCTCTGAAATGTTAGTTTTCAGTTAAAAATAGACAAGGCTAATCAATCACCTGAGAAAAGTTTAGCTTACATATATATACATTTCGTTATGCATATGAATGATAAGTGTGAAAAGTTGTGAAGTTTCTATAGCATGAGACTAAGAATGTACCCCTATAGTATTAATACTGAAAAATACTCGATAGACAAATCTTGATATACAAACGCAATTCCAGGAACATGCTCTTCTGAAGTATCAGGGTAATACTGTGCAGTTCACATCGCAACTAATTTTGTTAAGATCAGTTGTTATATTGACCAGCTATTAAGTGAAAGGATAGAACTGAAGCTGGTTTTGAAGAAATTAATTTACTTTCAAATCATAAAAAAGTCTTGAAGTCTGAATGCTGAAATGTGAGGATTTCTTAAGCAGGAAAAAATTGGGTTCCTGTAACCATCATCTGTATCTGCAGTAGCAGTAGCAGTAACAGTCTGCTTACCTACCTTGAATGCAGGCCTCCAGCCTGGACTCTTAGAAATGGATGCATGAAATACTGAGAAATTGATGAGGGCATAGGCAGCCAGGAAGAAATTTGAAAGCAAAGGTGCTATAGCATTCAGCTGAGCTGAAAAAAAAAATATATATGTTATACCTTCTATATCAATCATTTGTAGAGTCAGAAAATATTGTAATACTATCAGGGTTTCATTTTGCTGGACACACATGTAAGGATATTTCAAGAACATACAGTTTCGTGAGTTAGATTAATGTCTATCTTCACATGACATCTGATCATTAACTTGACAGTCCTTATATATATTTCTTTAGTTTTCTAATAACAGCAACCAGTATTAAACCCAGGTTCTTTGAATAATAGTCTAAGGTGTTAATTACCATGCAATAAAACACAATTATTAGCGTAAAAATCAAAAAAGGATTTGCCTCAACTTCAAAAATAAGTTATGGATCACTTATACAACAGAAAAAATTGCTATTAATATAAAGCCTAATTACATTAGTGGTCAAGGGGCAATGTACTATTATGTAAGATACGACTTACGTTGCATATGGCGATCGGATTATTGATTGTAGTGTTAATATGACGCTTTATTTACTGTAATCTACTGAAAAATGTTTTGAAGATAGAAGCCATAAAATATGTACAAGACTGAAGATTGGAATAAACACAACTTACAAAACACTGGGTGTAAACTATTAGACAGTGGATAATATATAACTTAAGCATACTACATGGGGAATAAATTGCTTTTTAAAAATTTATCAGCAAATTTAAAACTCAAATAAGAAGAGTAAACGAAGAAATCGTTCCAGACACTGGAAGGCACTTGAGTACCATTCCTGTCTGGACAAAGGTACTGCCAGGCCATTTAACAGCTATGCATCAACTGCAGCAAATGAAACATTGCCCTGAATATGATTGGCAAAATTAGGTGGATGAAGTGACATTTAAAGGCCTTATCTAAGGAAACTGGCAAAACTATGTAAATATCAATCAAAATAGCCAGTACACAAACTGAATGCCATCTGAAAAGAAACAAGACATTGTTCTTGAGATAATCTACTTGAATAAATGGTTGCACTGATAAGATGGCGCAATATAAAAACAAACAAGTTTTTTAAGAGGAACATGATTCAAATTGAAATTGGTTTATCAACTATCCTAACTTCCTTCCTCCCTTCCCCTTCAGCACTATAGCTCAGGGCGAGCTTCTGCCTCCTGAACAATCTGCCTCCATTCTTCTCTACTTCCTTTCACTTTCATTTTACAGAGATCATCCTGTACATCACCCAACCATCTCAACCTGTGTCTTCCTATTTTCCTTGTTCATCTATCTGAGGATGATTATCTGGCTTCTGAACAATTTAGTTTTTATGATATGAGGTTGTTAGCCTTACACCCAAACCCAAACCTGGAGGACCAGGGCATCCCTCTTCATCTATCTCCTACCCCTTGACCTGTATGGTATGAGTGACCTTACCAGTAGCTACACTACCACCGGTATAGCTCTCAGGGTCTCAGGAACACTCAAATCCCACCATCACAACAAGGTGGAGACACCATCGGTGGGGAAACTATCCTAACTGATGATTTTAATTTTTTCTCTCAGTCATCCAAGCAAACAATTGGAAACATATTATGCCTGACTTATTCCCAGTTCTTTCTCATTCCTTAGTTTATGCCAAATTTCAGATATGGATGAATAATGATCACAAGCAATGAAAGTATTTAATATTTAAACAAAAATATTGCTCTACATAGCATCATGAAACAATGAAACGATCCACTGATGTGAAAATAAACCACTTCATGAAAGTAAAATCTACAAATGGAAAGGTAAACACAGTTATACACTCTGTAATATCAAGTTTTTCTTACCAATCAATATGCATCCAAATGATATAACAAATACCAGAACATAACCACGAACTGGATCATTGTTAGCTCCATGTCCCTTTGAGAAGAAGCCTATAAATGGATACAGTTTATCTTTCGCCAAAGCCTGGAAACAATGTATTTTATAAGAGGAATATTACAGGTATTCAAATTGTTATATTTAAACTAGAGCTAATAAAGAATATGATATGAAAAAGCCATTTAACCCTTTGCAATACAATGTGATTGTGTTATATTCTGACTAATTTGACACTCAGAAAAGACAACTGCTTTTGTAACAACAGAGTTGAATTGAATTGAATTTATTTACATTCTATAAATCCTAAGCAGGTTAGTACCTTTGGATACAGAACAAGTCAAAACATCATTCTCTATTTACATTGAAGTATTCATCTAATGAGTAGAAGGAATGAGCATGTAGATTATTCTTTAACTCTGATTTAAACTTTTTAGTATCATTGCCCAAGTTTTTAGTTGTAACATGTACTGGGATAATGCAGATCACACAGGTGCACTGAGATGATAAGTTAAACCATGGCCACTGTACTCTGTTTAAATCAACTTTGAGGGTGTATCATAGCTTAGGCAGGCAGAAAGTCCCGTGTGTTCAATTAGATCTCCAGTATATTGATTTTAGTTCCAACTGTATGTAGAAAATAGGATTTAGTAACTTTCTTACCATGACATAATACTCTAAGTTCCTCATCATATGATCATGTATCCTCAAAGATATCTTATGAATGATAATATGAGATCATATTTTGCAACAGACCTCTATAATCTTATTCTGAACATAAGATGGAAGATTTTCTCTCATGTGAAGAATGATAAAGTTTAAAAATGGTAAAGCTATCCCTTTAACAGGCCATGAAGGACCATAGGGTTGTGAGAAGTTGAAGGTCCAACATTATCTAGACAATGAAGAATGGAGATAAATATATTATCTGTAAAATTACTTTAATAGTCCTTGGCATTTCTATAGAAACTAAAATTAAAAATGTCTTTAGTGCCAGCAATTTTACTTGCAATTCAACTCAAATTTTTTCTCAGAAATTTTACTTTTAACATAGATCAGAATCAGCATCAGCCATTCTAACAACATTCTTCATATTACAAAAATAACAGAGCAGACTTAGAACTGTTCACGAATTTTGTTAGAAGCCATTGCAGCAAATAAATGGTGTATGATATTATATTCAGCAAGTAGAACAGTGATAATCTATAAAGACTGATGATGACTGATGATGTCATTATCGCTATCATTGCAGAAAAATTTAAAACACTCATCCAAGTAAATACACTAAGAACCGATTTCATTACCAAATTATAAAGGAAATGTAGCCACATTGTATTTTAGTTTGAGAAAGGAAGTGGGAAATCTTACTTTATTCAGGTTCCAGCTTTAGAAATAAGAGCTTATAAAGATGTACAAGTACTATCTTCTCCACTACAGACAAACCATAGGATTCATAACTGAACTGCATTAACACACCAAGTAAACAGAAAAGAAGTTGGAAAATGACCACAACTATTTACAGTATTTTCTGCATTCCTTACGAAGTATCCTAATGGTACGTATTTTGTTCTGATAGAAATACTTCTGTAATGTTCCAATTACATGATTCCTAAAGAAAACAAGCAACATTTTCAGAAAGCTTAAATAATAAATCATTTAAATCAAGATCAGTTTTTATGGTTAACCCTTGGGATTATGAAAGAAATGCATTATAGTGGTATGAATATGAATTTCCAAAGAGACTAACTTCAAACAGATAACGGGACTGAATATTTTCATCTCACTTAACACTACATGAACGTAAAATTAAAATCCATTCTGTATTATAGCAAATTTTGCCCCTTTACCATATGTTTAAAGGTAGATACTGAGATCTCTTGAGGAACATGCAACTCCATCTTCAGGGCTGAAATGTTTAGGATAATGAAACAGGGTAACAATGCAGCTTGCAAGGAACATGGTCATGCAAATCTACTGGAAGGGGAGATGAAATGGAGCTTGGTCTAGGCTAATGAGAATAGTGAAGAGCAATTTTCCTTATCCTACACATTTAAACCCTGTAGCATTTCCCTCAAAAATGTCAGTATTCACCTACAGCAGGTTTGCATGGTGTCACAAACTAAAAGACCACAATGTGAACAATCACCTCCATGTAAATCACAATATTCTCCTTATAAAAGTTTACAATATTCTGGATTATCTCTAGTTTTCACTATCGGTACTAATTCTCCTTTCCATTAATGTGGTTACTCAAGAGCGTACAGTGATGAAGAAGATTGTGATGGTGGTGGTGGTTGTAGTAGTAGCAGTAGCAGTAGCAGTAGCAGTAGCAGGAATAACTGCTATGTTTGTAAAGGCAAAGTTGTCTCTGTGGTTAATTAATTAACCACCATGTCATTAAGACATAGGGGGGTGTGGAGGTATAGCTGCACCATCATCTTGGCATCAGAAGGAGGTGAGTGATCACCTTCATGCCCTGACTGCTTTACCGCTGTGGTACCCCAGTACCGCTGGATAGGAGGATGGTTGAGACCCAGAGTTGGTCTGGACACTGTGAGGTAGAGATAAAGCTTGACCCTGTCAGCCTGTAGTCCATCACTATACTGACTGAGCTATCCTGACTCTTAATTGAAATTCATATAGAAAAGACAAACAAATAACACCTGAAACTGATTTAAATGGAAACAAGTTATTTAAAAATCATGTTAAAGTCCAAAATGCCACTATTTATCTACAATAACACAATCCTTCTAACTTGACAATAATTAAATGGCCCACCTGGAGAACTCTGGGTGCTCCAACAAGGCTAGCAATGGCAGATGATAAGGTGGCTGCAAAACAGCCTCCATAGATTAATGGGCCCCATGATGAAGCCAACTCCATGGCCTGTTCAAAGAAACCAGCACAAAGTGAAAACAACTCCTGATGGAAATATGTAAGAAATTATATTGTTACTAATTTTAGGAACTTAATTTTTATTGTTTTCTAATAACAAAACATGTTTTAAATAAAGCATATATACTGCATCTTTCTCAACTCTGTTTTCTTTATTCTACACAGATGTCATGTATATAACAACATGATACTGCATTTCATTCAAGAGAGAATAAAAATATTTTTCAAAATCCATTCATTGCAATTTTAAAATAATTAATAACAAATACCTTTATACACAGTCAATTAATTTTTAAAGAAATTTCTAAAAACAGTAAATCCTATTTCAATTTTTTTAAAGATATATAAGCATATTTGTCATAGTTTTGCTGATTTTGTTTAAAACAATTTTTATTGTGTGTATTATTAACAGAATACAAAAATACCTCCAATATTACATGTGTACAAAGTTACTAGTAATATAGAAGGGTACCAGCTTCTGGGAAGTTACACAATGTAAACTAATGAAAGTTCACCAATATTTTGGAGGAACATACTGCCACCATCTTCAGGGTCAAAGAGTGAGCAGAGCACACTACCTGGCTTGCTCTGAAGATGGGGGCAGTGCTTTCCTCTGAAACAATGGTAAACTTCTACCAGGCTGTGTGTGTCACATCCCAGAAAACAGACTTTTTGTATATACCACTGTGTGAACCTCAAATCTTTCTGGTAGGAATGTTTAGGTACTAGGAATAGTGATATGCTGAAATAAAAAATTACCCAGTTTCTTACAAATATCACATTTTTAGTTTACTGTCTTGAAAGACACAAATATATAGAGCAGTACTCAATATAACTGGCAAAGAAAATTTTATAGTTAAAAAAATAATCCATCCCTAAGGGCAAAAGGATTATTTTCAAATTACCTGAAAAAGTACTTATATCATACAAAATATAGTTAATATGACAAACCTGACTATCATTGTGCAGTCCATATAGACAGCTTCGATCAGTACAGTTGCTGAAGACTGCCCATTCATCAGGTTCACCTTTAACTTGAAGGTATTCTGTTACATTTCCAGAAGCTGTGCGGAGCACACAACCTCCCATCATGAATGCATAGCCTATGTAAGACAAAAATGTGACGAAGATGGCCAGCAGAGTGCCTACAGGAATGGCACTACTGGGGTCCTGAAAACATGTGTTATATTATAATCACTATTTTTCAGTTCTAAAGAGTTCCAACAAGTGTATTTCATTTACAGTTAACAGTTTTGTCCTTGTCCATTGTCAGTAATATAGCTTCTTGACAACAAGAGGACAGTGAGGAGGCTCAAGAGACTCAAGCCGTTTGAACTAGTGTAGTGCAAGTGCGCATTAGTGTAATTAGCGATATGGGTGCTACAACAATGTGCTCAAAACACCAGATGCTGGGACACACTGTTGGGCATAGTCTCAGAGTTTAGTTCTAGTAGTAGTAGTAGTAGTAGTAGTAGTAGTAGTAGCATTAGTAGTAGTAGTTTAAGAGAGAACAGAAATGCTCGTTAGTCTCAGACTAGTTGCATTGTTAGAACGTAAAGAAAACGAAAGGAAAGTCTGTTCCCTGATATTTTAAACAGAACGCAGTATTTCGAGATCTGGATGAACTCTCTCTTGCAGAGGTGTGTGTGTGTGTGTGTTGGGGGTGGAGGTTACCTATTCAGTTGGGTTTGTTAGAAAGAGCTAATCCCAATCACTGGATCTGTGAGTGGGACTAATCCAGTGATTGAAATTAACTCTTTCTAATGGATCCAACTGTGTATGTATCCTCCATCTGAGGACAGGAGCAGATTCAGTTCCTAAACACATTGATTTTCTGGTTTTTAGAATATTAGATGATGGACAAATTCCAGAAAGCTAGTAATACTAAAATTATTCTTTAGGTTTGCACAGTATATCATAATGGAACACAACTGTGTCTTTCTTTATCTAGTGCTCTAAATTCTAAATTATAGGTCTCCTAATTTTGCAGTTAGTAGAACAGAGAAATTTTGTCATTTAATCACTAAGTGACTCAATATTGATGCATATCTGCTTCACTATTGTATGTTAAATATTAAGGTTCACTACCAGTACAAATGAATGATTAAAATTTTGTCAAATAATCTTGTGAAATCAATATTACATGCTATGATAGTAAAAGAAAGATTAAATAATAATAATGTTATATATTCATTAATAGAACCAAGGAAAGATAGCATGTTTAAAATTTTAATTGCTCTTACAATTAGAAATGTATTAAATTTGATTTTGACCACAACAGATTATCTTAAAAATTTATTTGCCCTTTGTTACATATTTAGATTTCAAACAAGTGACTGCAAAGCTGCATCCAACTCATTTCATGGCTATGTATGGTTTAATATGAACTGACACAATCAATCACACACAAAACACTTAAAATGTATAATTTGCAACACAATCAGAATAGCAGCCACATATGAACGAAGTGTCATACAGAGAATGATAGCTCTGACAAGTTGTGCAGAATTCCCTTAAATATAAACATCACTTATTTTAGATAGTGTCCATCATTTAAAGTTCTTTCAAACACAGGGTTTCAGATAATAGATGTTTGCATCACTAGCCATAAGGATGAAAAGATACCTACTCAGTTTGGACCATCATAAACAGCTAGGCCTGATCACTGGACCAGTGATTAGTAGTGTCCAAAATAATATTCGTGCTACAAATATTATGTTTTTTGACATTATCCATAATCCTGTTTTCATTTAAAACACAACATTTCAGAAACTGGATTCTGTCTCTCTCTATCAGGTAAAACATACTCATTTGGGTCCAATAAATGGAGCTAGTCCTTATCCTCAGATACCTGCACCAATACAAGACAGGGTATGCAAACCAAGCACAGCACAAACCATCTGTGAGAGTTATGACAAAACATTGAAGAGTTAAAATACTTCACATGCATGAGGCCTGGCACCATATGTGTGGAAGTTTTTAATGGGAAGTTAAGACAAAACATTAAAATGTTAAAATACTAAACATATATGGTGGTGGGCCTTATATACGTGAAGTTCTTTAAAATCTTAATGTTTTTTCTTAACTCTTGCAGATGGTTCATGCTGTGCTTCATTTGCATACTCTATCTTGTGTTGGTGCAAGCATCTGCAAATAGGGACTACATCTTTTGATTGGGCACATCTGAATAAGTTTTACCTGAAGACAGAGACAGAATCCAGTCTCCAAAACAGTGTGTTTTAAATAAAAACAGTATGATGGATAATGTCCGGAAAAATAATATTTGTACTAATACACCATCATCACAAATTTTAGATCTTAATATTCATGTTCCCTGTTACACATCATCGTCAGAAATCTTTCGACTTAACTCTTAAATATGTCTAATAATACATAGGTTCTTAGTAACATCTTTTTATGGATTGTATTTTAAGTTTCATTTTTCAAAAAATTATTAAATATTATAACATCAAAAATATCTGCATAAGGTTTCTTACACTTGAGAATCAAACTATTATACTGTTATGTATTTGCACTATGCAGGACACCGCCTTCCCAGCCAGTGGTGACATAACACCTTCGGAGCATTGCCGCTGCTACGGTAACAGGCCAGTCAACACCCCGCCCCCTCCCGCGCTGACGTTACCAAGGGATGCCGCGGTTGCTATGCAGCAGTAAACAACTCTCGACAGCGTTGCCCAGCAAAACCTGTAAACACGGCGACTAGGCAACAAGGAAGTGAGGCCGTTTCCCGTTGCCCGGCTGAGGGTTTATAAGAGAACTGCACTGCTTAATGACCCTGCGAGTCGTAGGAGGCGACGAAAAGGGAAGTCTCAATTCTGAGACAGTAAAATATGGTCGCAAGTCCCAAGGGACTCGGACCCGAGTAAGACTGCGCTTGCAAGGGCCAGCAGCATATACAAAAGACAGATCCGTCCTCTCATCAGAGAAGGCGCCCCACAGAAACAAGACCGTAACTGTCAAATGGTAATAATTAATATCTGGTCATGAACTCCAAATGGGGCTCCACACCAAAACTTACTGACTGATTGACCGTCAGTCGCAATGTGACTTTGACTTTAAGGAGTCAGTTGAAAGATAGCGGCCGCCGAAGACAGTTGAATTGGAACAGTCACCGAGTTCAGTTTTAGGGAAAGAATCGTGAACAGGGAAAGAAGAATACCGGAACATGTGATTAGAAATGATTAGTTGGTGAGTAGTGAGTGATTAGTTAGTGAGTATTGAGCCAATTACCAGAGAAAGGGTAACCAGTTAATTGCAGTCAAGTAATTGTTAATACTGCAGATAGCAGTAGTTGTGAAACTGTAAATTGTGTAAACCCGTAACAGTGTTATAATTAACTGTAGCTACGACTTGTAGGTTGTTAAATAAACTAATTAACAATCCAAACGGCATCTTCAGTAGCAAAACACGTTACAATACTGTATTCTATGAGATATTCTTTGAAAATTAAATAGGAATCCGTTTTATAAGAAATATAAGAGAATTTCAAACGATTGTCTCAGCTGAAAATTGTAATTATAGTCAGTTACATCATTTGTTATTACTTAATTAAAAACAATGTTGGTCAATTCTACATTTTTATCAGGTTCAAGATAAGGATAAGGGTCATTCCTGACTTACATTATGCCTAATTCTTTTCCCTAATTCTCATTCTGTCCATGAAGAATTGGTCACACGTAGCTCTTCTGAGACTCAGAATTTTGTCAAGGGACTGAACAAAATGTGCAAAGTAATCTCATATTCCTTCCTAATATATTTTAAATTTATAAATTTCGCCTCTGAAAGATTCGACTTATTTCTTATTTATAAAATAAATGTACAATGTTCCCAACTCTTCGCGAGTTTTTAATTCATCAGAAGCCTAATTTATCTCTCAGATAATGTTCCATAATGAGTTATTAGATTGAAAGAACTGTGTTAACTTTGTACACAGGAAGACTATATTAATTGATATTGTTTCTAACGTTTAAAGTGAACAGAAGTACCTTAAGGTCTCCTGACAGATTGGCTCCCGCCACAATACCAGTTACAGCTGGGAAGAATACAGCAAAGACAGAGAAGAAGTCATGATCAACTCCCTCATAGTTGCGATAATCTGGTCCCAGGTTTGACCTGAATGTTTCTGCTATTAGTAAATGAAAAACAAAGAAAATAAATATATCTTATATCAAGTATTTTTATCTTTCTGACATTCAAAGTATGCAAAGAACATTACTGAAGATACTATTGTTTTTAAAATCTTTTGTCATAGATAGAACTGTTCCATCAAGTGTAGAGAATGTAATGGTACTGATAATTTCTTATTAAAGAAATTCTAAAGCTAAAAATATTTAAATGTAAGAAATTTGGTTCTTATATATACTGTAACATGGATGGACACAGTGTTGCTAGGTGACCGACCTCGAAACACTTTGCAACAAAATATACTCAAGGCAACAATGGGAGCGCTGTGTTTTCTATGGAGTCCATGCCGCGACCATTGCTTTGCAATTGGTCGGTAATCACATTCCAACAATATAGGCTGCTTTCTGCATGGTCAGTGTGGAGGCCATATACTGACAATTACAGACAGAACAGATGTCACTATTTTGGAGTATCTGGGAGTATTCGAGAGTGTTTTGATTGTTTAAGTGACAGTGAAAGAGTTCTCGGTGGAAGATAGCCACAGAAAGTTCATCATGAGAAGATTAACATGTAGTGATTGTGAACTGTATAAATTAGCAAGTGTGTTATAAATAATTGTAGTTATGAATTGTAGGTTGTTAATAAACTCAATTAACAAACTGAACAACATCTTCAATAGATAAACACACTACAATACATTCTTTCCAGTATGAAACTATTAAAATTGTTGTTGGCAATGTAAATTTTATGATTCTGATGGAGATGATAGAATTCAGTATATACAACTGTACCAACACAACATAAAATTTTCAGTCATGACCCTTAAAGATTATTCAGCAGTTATGTCTTATAACTATATCTGTACAGTTCTAAGTTGCTGTTTTTATTCTTTTTTTAATATTTTCATTCATGAAAGTAGAATAATTTCCAAAGATTTATTACCATTCAAAAATAATAGACCGTAACTCACTGCTGGTAGTGTTATAGATTAAATGGCCTCAATGTTATTCAACTCCAAAAGTTTCTACAGCTATCAGGTAGGTACTGTTAATAACTTGTAATTAAAAACTTCAAGGGCCTCGGATGGCTTCCAGCAAACTGATATTCATACCAAGTCACATAATAATTAATTTGCCACAGTATACAGTATTTATGTCAATAACAGAATAAATGAAATAGAAATTCTACAGTTCAATTTGAAAACCTGAAGTAAAGTGATTACATGAGAAGCCTAGACACAGAATAAAGATAACATTAAAATGTATCTTATAGATATATAATGTGAGAGATGATATGGACTAGATTCATCTGGCTCAGGATTGGGTACAGAAACAAGCTCTTATGAACAAGGTAATGCACATTCAGATGCTGTAAAAGACAGGAGACTTCTTGAGTAGCTGAGTGACTATCAGCTTTTCAAGAATTTTGTTCCATGGATATTTCATGGATGTCAATATGCAGCGAGTGCTAGTTAATAATCTGGCAACAGAGCTTAAAAAATGACAGGGGTGGGGGAGTTGCTTACATGTGAAGACATTACCTTTCATAAGACTTTTTGCTATATTACGTTTTTACCAATATAGTTTAAAGAAACTCACAATTGTATCCTACAAATCCTTTTGCTATTTCTTCATCATCCTGAGGTCCCAGGAAGCTTCCAACCATAAAATCAATTTGAGAAGCAATTAAAACAAAAAGCAAGCACATTTGCGTCTGAAATAGAAATTAGTGAATATTAGAAAGACACACTGTACATTGTGATATCATTCCGGAACAATATATCAATTTTAGGTGCTCATTATGTGAGACTTACTTGCTCTGTGATTACAAGAGAAAGAAAAACAGAGCCCTGTAAAGTGTCTGAAACTTGCAAAGAATGTACAAAAAGTCAAGATCTCTTACATGTTATGTTGAGTCTCCAGTATTCAATAAACACTCTAATGAAACAATTACATGTATGGGTAAGGAGGATAATTTTGAATTATTAATTTTGAAGATCTGTGTATTAATTTATTAGCAGAGGTCAACAGTTATTATTATAGTTTGCCATTCACATCATACATCATATATCCGAAAATGTTCATATTATACATACAGTATATGTCGGTTCTCTCCTCACTATAGTAGGATTCATATCTCTTGACACTGGGTGAGAGCGAATAAGGAGTTTCTGTGACATTGCCAATTTGTTGTTCTACACACACATGTGTAGCAGCAGTAGCTTTAAATGATATCAGAACAGACTACGTAGGAATAAAACTAAACTAGTAAATAATAGCATATAAATAAAATATTAACTGAACTTTCATATGCTATTTCTCCCCGAAAAGCAAGAATTACTTTTTTGGCAGTAGGGAATTCGCCTTTATCATATTACTCCATAACATTTTTCCATAAAACAACTTTCTGGAAGTCATTTAGGCCTGTCACTTTTTTTGGAATGTGTATATGCTTTCTGAAATAACTTCTTGGTACGCCTTTCCTTTCAGTTCTGTGTATCCTTTCATATGTGTGAAACAGCTGACTTGCTTACACAGGACTCACCAGCTGTTAGGTCCTGGCATTTAGAGGAAACCAGTCTACTTCACTTTTCTTCAGACACTTTTTTAATAGAAATTGTATACATTAAAAACTATTTTATGCTTCTACCATAACCACTGAAATGAATGCTACAAATTATACACAGCTTATTAGGCAACATTTTCTATTCAAACACTCTGAACTATAAATACTTTTCCTCAGCTGAAAATAAAATGACAGAACTTGAATGTGCCCTTTGTACAATTTTTGGCTCTATGTTTTCATTGTGGCCAAGGTGGCCAGCTGGTGTAATATATAATAATACAGTTCCATGAAGTCTGGATGAGATAAATAAAACAAGAACCAGGTAACAACCACGTTATCTGAGAAAAGAATAAAGTGCCGGCCCATTTTACAGTGACACAGGTTGCTTACAGAGTTATGAACAAGTGAATGAGCCTCCTCAAAACTGTGCTTGATCAAATACAAAATCAATCTTGGGCTCTATTCTGAGCACATTGTCCAAGAAGTGGTATCAAAATCATGACTGTCTAGGATAAATACGTGTATAAGCAATGATTATGAGAAAAATGAGAAACCCCTAAAATGCCAATTGCTTCATCCACAAAGTCAGGTTTGCGCCTATGCATAAAAAAAATGCATCACCTAAGTGCATATTTCATCTGAATTTGCAAAGACTTTGTCCAAGTTCACATGAAATTTAGTTTTGAAACTCACAGTGGCAGACTTGAACCGGGCATGTTCCACACTAGCTTGTACAATATCAGTGGCCATCCTGTAAACATCAAGAGATATGAATACTACCATAGTCACAATTTTCAGCTTGTCAAGAACAAGTATCTGTTGAGTCCATTTATAAGAACATTAGGCTATAAAATTACTGACCCTTGTAACCCAGTCCATGCCAACTATTGCAAGAACAAGTATGCCTATAAGGGTTACAAGGCCAACCACACGAATGTCGTTACTTGCTCCATCAATGAGAGTGGTACCAAAGGTCCTGAGTAAATCCTGGAGTGACTCACAGAAGCCCACAATATACATTGACACTGCAACTGAATTGGCCAGTGTGAACATGAGGCCAATTGCTCCACCAAACTCTGGTCCCAGTGATCTTGATATCATGTAGTATATACCACCTGCAAAGATAAAGTAGACTCAGCTGTGCTACCATTGGAACATTAAACATTTAACTTCTGGCATATCCACGAATAAAAGATTTTAATTCTCCTGGCACTACATGCCTGACAATGAAGTCAGGGGTAATGGTATTAGGATTGAAAATATGCAATTCTCTTCCAGCTGACTGCCTGCAGACATCATTACATCATTTTGACCAATGAACAATATAAGCTATTTGAGAGGTGTTTTTTGAGAATTAATTTAGAAATCTATATTCTTTTACAAATATACTGAGGTATTCCTATTGTTTAACATTCACTTTTAAATTTAAATATCTGCCAGAACACAACAAATTGATTAAACAATGTATGCAACCTTATAGCAACATGATACTATGTAGAGCTCATTAACTTCAGGCTATCATTGTAGTTGTCTAAAATCACCTGAAGCTGCTGTGCCAATATATGCAGTACTCTACATCACATATGTTAGCCCATTTAACGAAAGTGCACTGGATACAACCAGCAGTTTATGTTGGCACTAACTTTGCTGACAAGCAGCGGTCGCTCGGTGGGTATAGTTTGCTTGCAGAGTATGGGCCAGTGAGTTACAGAGTTATACATTAAATAAGCCTCTTTAAAGGGGGAGTGACCACGATAGTTGCAATAGGGCCTCCGCAAAACAGAAGGAGAATCTGCAGATTTTATTGAGACATTTGCCTCTCTAAAAGCACGAAAAGTTAAGTGGTATATTTAATTCTTGTAAGAAATAATCAGAGGGGAAGAAGAAAATCATAACCTAAATATATTTCTGATAGAGACCTCCATATGATGACTGCCCCAGGGCCACTACAACTCTAAAGCTGGCCCTAGACACAGGGATTTTATTTCACCAGTTAGCCTGATAAATGCCTTACCTCCTTTAATTTGGCCATTTGTACAAACAGCAGACATAGAAATGGTTGTCACCAATGTCACTATGTTGGCAAGGCATATTATTGCTGTTCCTTCTCCTAAAACATTAAATAAATATATTAATACTTTACAAGAACAAATCCATTAATATTTTGATGGTCAACTAAGTTACTGAGTTTTGCTGCATTAATAATCAATTCCAGCAGAGACTCAAGTTATTTAGGATATTAATTTTTTATTAGCTCTAAATGTGTTTTCATGTCTCCAAAGATTAAAATTCATGTGTTCAATTCCCAATGCAGTCATTGGATATTTCAATTGACCTAATCCTCCCAGCCACACTGTGGCCCTGGGATCAACTCAGCCTCTAATAGAAATGAGTATCAGAATCTTCCTGGGGGTAAAGGGAGGCTGGTATGTAAGACTGCCATCTGTGAGCCTACTGTCTAAAAAATGTGGGAGTCTCAACGTCTCACAATCCTGTGGACCTCCATGGCCTGTTAGAGGGATATCTTTACCTTTTTAACTTAAGAAGAATATATCAGATTATATTGTGCTTAAGATCTAGAAGTTTGTGATGATGGTACATTAATACAAATATTATATTTCTGGATATTATCCATAGTCCTTTTTCTTATTTTAAAATATAATGTTTCAGAGACTGGATTCTGTCTCTGTCTTCAGGTAAAACCTACCCAGTTGGGCTCAATTGACAGAGCTAGTCCCTATCTCTGGACACCTGTACCCAACACAATGTAGGATATACAAAGCCAAGCACATCATAAAACATCTGCAAAAGCTAAGACATAATATTAAAGCGAGAGCTAAGTGAATCAGTTTTTTTAATGTTTTTTCTTAGCTCTCACAGATGGTTTAAGCTGGGCTTGGCCTGTATACCCTATCTGGTGTTGGTACAGGTGTCCAGAGATATGGATTAGTTCTATCAACTGAGCCCAACTGAGTAGGTATTATGTGAAGACGGAGACACAATCCAGTCTCTGATAACATTGTGTTTTTACTCGTAAATAAAAAATGATAGTGGATAATGTCCAGAAACATAATATTTGTATATTGACTTTCCCTGTGAGCTGCTAACCGCATTGCTGATAAGGGGAATCCATATGGGAGAAATATAAAAACTGGGTTGGCTGACTGAATTGGTTAAATAGGCCATATGGGCTGACTCCTTGTATTTCCTGTGCCTGCTATTGCTTTCAATTTCCAAAATCTGGGCTTCATCCCAGCCTAGTCTGTGACATTCTTCATAGACATATTGGGCCAATTTTCATTTCCCTAGAAGACCCTTTTCGAGATTGTGCCTAACCATACCAGAAAGTGACCTGTAACAGATGGCATATTGCATCAGTTACCTTGCTGCAACAGGAAAACCACCAGCCATGCAGCTCTGTGAACATAGGCACAATTTCATTCTATGTGTCAGAATATCATCTGTTTCACATTTGTATCATGAAGGAGCCTGGATGTCGCAGTCGGTATAGTGACTGATTACGGGATGGACGATCAAGGGGTTGGAGTTCGAGTTCTGGAAGGGTCAAGAATTTTCTGTTCTCCGCATTATTCAGACCAACTCTGTGGCACATCCAGCCTCCTATCCAATCAGTACCGGATGCTCTTTCCCCGGGGGGTAAAGAGGTCAGGGTGTGAAGCTGACCACTCACCTCCAACTAGTTTTGAGGTCAAGAAAACATGGATCTACACATTAACTTCCCTATAACTCTTCTTGGTGTAGTGCTTAATTAGTTAAGCACAAGGCAACTTTACTTTTTGCTTAAGTATGAAACACATCTAAACCTTGTGCTCTGTAAAGGTACAGATCCTATGTTAACAATCCACTGTGTTAATTTCTTCCATAAGAACGATCCAAGCTACAAGCTGTTATGTCCATAATCTTATTTCTTATAATTTCTAACAAATTTACTTAATCCTGATTCCTTGAATCTGAAGGGATCATAAGACTCATAGTAATGGTGAGGGACATTAAGATTTAAGAACTATTGAGAATTATATTATGGTTAATTATTGAAGATGAAGTACTTTAAATGTATGACATACCAATTCCAGCTTGACCAACAACCCAGGACAGTCGAAGGAAGAGCATAACACCCCAGATGTTGAGCAAGCATCGCATCTAATGTATGAGAGAAATTGTGTCTGCAGCACAGTATTGAAAGTGACTCAGTTCAATGAGGAAATATAAATCACTTCTCACAAAAAGAACAATGTTCTGAACTCAGTTCAGGGATCCAGTGTAAATTACCACCCACCGCAAACAATACTCTGAATACAATACAGTCCTTCAGGGTAAATTTACCGCTCACTAGGAACAGTACCCTGAACTCAGTTCAGTGGCTGAATGTTAATTACTTCTCACCAGAAACAATAACCTCACCTCAATCCAGTAATCCAATGAAAATTATTTTTCATCAGCAGCACTGCTTTCAGCTAAATTTAGTGAACCAATGTAAATTAATTTTTACCAAGATCAGTGTCCTCACCTCAATTCAGTGATGCAATGTAAATTACTTCTCATCAGACACAATACTCTGAAGACAATTCAGCGATCCTGTATAAATTACTTCTCATCAAATAATAACAAAACGAATATTACTGTTATCAATAACGATGTAATTAATGTGATGTCTCCTTTGTTTGAATGTGATAGCCATGGCAATATTCTCTTAGGCACACTACATCAATCGTTCAACCAATTTTGTAGGATGTAGCAGTAACAACTCTATCAGTGACCTGCCAAGACTCGTCAAAAGTAGTAGGAAAAATTGTGGAGTCATTCATTTCCACTGCCTGTTACAAAGCATTTCTAGTTGAACACACCAACAAGACCATAGTATCTTGCTGCAAAATCAAACATTGGTGATGGTTCTAGGTCCATGACCACACAGAAATTTTGCACTGCTTTCTCCTTGGTATCAAATCCCATGGTATAAATAAACCCTATGTTCACATTGTACATCCTAGCCCTTGCTGAACCTTAAATGTAACTAGATTGTTTGCATCGCACTCCCTATACAAAGTGTTCGGTTTTGATGACAAGCCTTTACTTTTATGCAATATATATCTTCAAATATTTTAATACACTTCTCGATATCACTTGCTAAGAATTTCTAAGGTTGCAAAAACATTACTATCATTTCTTATATTATGAGGGTGACTCAAGGTTGACCTGGACTTGATTTTTCTACAGAAAGAGTACACAGGCCAGAATTGCAACTGTCACTTCCTTTCTAGACAGTGTCCCTCTACACCGACTAATTTTTGTCATCATCATGGCAGGGCATGGATATCAGGAGCCGAGAAAGTTCTGGGATCGCCATTTATCCATTTCAAAGCAATCTCACTTGAGTTCATTATTCGCATAGAATTTCTGCAATGATAGTTGCTCCTTTAGTGGTCCAAACATGTGAAAATCAAATCTCAAGTATGCAGATATTCATTGTCTTGCAGTACATTGACCTTCTGTTACTGATTCCCAGACTTTCTTTTGCAAATTGCTAATCATATTTTGAAACTAGTGACACATTTTAGATGCAATATCAGACTCTGTAATTACCCTGCTTTTGAAAAACAGCTATTTAACATGATGAATATATGCATCTGTGACCACCATCAGCTGAATATATGTGGCCAGTTGGTGACTTCTTCGTGGCTTTCAGAAAAAGTGTTGTGGCAATCATTCTTTGATAAGTGACAGGACTTCATCATAATATTTACTTAACCTATGCAGATTGCCTGCTACACTTGGAAGTTGATGGCACAGCATTGTTCTACACTAGGAGTGACACGGCATGATGCCATCTTTGAGGTGCTCTGATGCACAGAAGCAAGATACATCGCCACCAGGCAGTGAGTGCGGTGTTGCCATCAACTGTCCATAAAAACCTTTCTATTTTTCTGTGTCCACATCTTCAGGATGAAAATGAAGTCCAGATTAACTTTGAACCACCTATGTACCTGAGTCATTATTATATATATTGACAGACAAATGGTTACTCTTACATTCTTCATATATTTCATTTTCTGTATTGAAGCATTTGCTACAGATTGGAATCTAATATACTAGCTACATTAACATTCATGGGAGGTTTCAGAGAGGAAACCCGACATCATCCCCCCCCCAACCTTAATTTTCTCTGGAGGGGGATCAAAACTTAAGAAAAAAAGGAAATTTACTAAACATTAAGATTTAAATTTAGAAGTAATTTTAATAAAATATTCTGTCATCCTGAATATTCTAGGACAATTAGTACAAGTATTAACTTACAAATACTCCTTCCAGCCATCCAAACTTAATGACCTTTCCTTTCTTTTGCTGTTGTGCTTCAACTTTGTCTTCTCCATCACTCTGAAAACACATATCATCCGGACATCAGCCAGGATGCAATAAACTTAAGAATGTCATCTCAAGCCAACTGATTACAAGGGAACCATTGTACTTCAGGCAAGATTCTTTTTTGTTAACTACTTGTATAAAATTCCATCTACTCACTTTACTGTTAGCTACTTTAAACAGACAAAAGTCAGTCTTCTCACTTTTTCCAAATTTTTTAAAATATGAAGAAAATGTAGAAATCCAGTTTTTAAGAAAGAAACCATGTGGCCCAAGGTACAAGGGTACACAATTCGTTACATTATACTTCTCAGTAAGTGATATGTAAAACGGATGAAAAACCTTTTAATTCTTCAAATGAAACAATCTAAAATACTTCTATGTTCTGCAGACACTCACTTTTAAATTCACAAAAAATAAATTGTAATTTTAAAAAATTAAACAGACACCTCATGGACGATTTTTGAAGTTCTGTCATTTGTAATATGTACGAGTAAAAGGAAGGATGAAAAAAATAAGAAATGGGTCTGAATCTTGACAGACATGGAGTCCTGCAAATGAAACGGGAAATATCATGCCACCACTTATACTTTTCATTAGTTTTGGAAAAGGAGCTACAGTATCTTCGATCTATATTTCATAATTGTAATCTCTCCGTGGCTACACAAGCACAGAACTTTTCCTGACCCTCCTTGTGAACTTCACCATTGATGTTCCCTTTCTCTTGGACACAGTTACACCTATGTACTGTTTCCTTATTTCTCTGTGGCAAAAACTACAAATATTAAGCTGCACTTTCCATGCTGCAAAGGAATATAAAATTCAAGGAAAACACCTTTTATTTCATCTTGATAATGATATTTCAATTTACCTGTAACTGAATTAAGGTGGCTTCTGTCATCAGAAATATTATCAAAAGCACCAAATAATTCATCTTCAAAATTAAATTCAACAGGCTGTTTCCACTATGCCTTATTTTTCTTTCTGTTTCTCTTCAAAAAGACTTACTTTTTCCTTCTTGTGCTTTGATTCTTTTCTTTTACTCCAATACCTCAACTTCATTCTTCTGATGAGTATCCATTGAAATCTTCAATTGGCCTTCTTTTCTTTATATATCCTTTACTACCTTTGATTGTGCTTTAAGAAGTGGTCGAATCTCTTCAAAAGAATCTTGTTCTTGACAGATTTGGAGTTGATGCTGGTGGTGAAATATGCAGATTTTCTTTTGAATGAAGCCATAGGTGCAACAGACTTATCAATCTGAAATGAAATGGTCAGTCCCATTTGCTGATTCCTGAACTGCTGGTTCAAGCCTCTCCAAAACAAATGAACTTAAAAATTTTTCATCTGTTTGTATATTAGAACTGACCTACCACAAACGAACAATTGAAAGTTCAGACTGGATACTGGATGGACTGAAAGCATAAGGGCATGCCAGATGAGTTAGGTGACCACTGTAAATATAGATAGGTTTCCTGGGTTTTTCAATATTCAGTTGCTGCTTGCCATACCATAGAACTTTATGAATGAGCCAAGACACCATAAGCTGAAGCTACTAGACAAGTTGCTTCTATTGAATAGCTGCAGCTTAGGACTGGTGTAAGAAAAATATTTCAGCGTTATAATACCATTCTCTAGACATTCTGATTGTCTGAGAATAGGAAAACTTTGTGATCTTCTGTTTGTTTCACATGGTAAATGAAATGGTCCAGAAATTCAAGAACATTTTCATAAAGAGAACACCCAAAAACATCAAATTTCCTAGGGCAGTAATGCACCAGTGATGGTGACACTGACCTTCCTCTCTCCAGATGTCACACTGCCCACCTGTTTACTCCCTCAGACAGCAATAACATCAGGACTATTGTGACCTGCAGTCAGCCTGCTGCCATCAGCATTATAAACAGTTTCAGATATTGTATATAGTTTTCTACAATTTCACTGTATTCTGGAGGCTCAGATAGGCCCATTGAAAGTAACAGTTCTTGTCAGGCTAGTAACTTGAAGCTTGCTCTGAGAAGCAGTACAATTTTTTTCATAAATTCAATGACCAATGCTCACTTGCTTGTCCATTCATATCCTGTGAGTTAGGATACATCTTCAACAGTTTTTTTTTTTTTGCAAACTGCTAAGCTAGTTTCATTATTTCTTTCCTTGCTAATAAGTAATGAATACTGCTAGTTGTGGTAATGTAATCCATCAGTGTGTCTTCCTCTTCTGTTGAGAATGCAGTCCATAATACACATTTATTTTTGTTAAAGAACTGTTTATTACCACTTCTCTTTTTAACATCAAGATCTTTCTGAAGAGTTGTGTGTGCAACACTAAACTGCTCTGCTGCAACTCGAAAAGCTTCAAGAACAGCTTCAAAAGCTTAAACAGCGTTTGGTGTTAATATTTAAAGAAATGTTTATTACAACTTCTCTTTTTAACATCAAGATCTTTCTGAAGAGTCGTGTGTGCAACACTAAACTGCTCTGCTGCAACTCGAAAAGTTAGTACTTCAAGAACAGCTTCAAAAGCTTAAACAGCGTTTGGTGTTAATATTGGTGGCTACTTGCATGCATCCTTACTACCATGCATCTGAAGAAACTGGACATCTGCTCAGAATTTTATACCTTTTGCTCTTGCATAGTGCTTCAGTAATGAAAACTTGTATGAGAAGCTTTTGAATAGCTGTGGACATCTGTCCATTAATTGCAAAGAGAAACAAAGCTGCAAGTAGAATAACAGAGGATTCAATTTCTCTATCTGGTTTCACACAAGACATACATGGTGCCACATCCCAGAAAACGGTATTCTTCATAGTCACCGATATGAAAATCTCAAATCTTTTCTAGTACCCACTTTGTTCCTAGTCCTATAGACCCTCTATTCCAACAAAACATGGTAAAATAAAAAAGTAAGTAGTAGGAAAATTTGACGTTTTACGCAGTATTTATTCAAAAGCCAAAAGTTTTCATTAATTATTCCGAATCATACTAAACAGCCAGAAACAAGGAAATAATAGGAATTTTAAATGTCCTTTACATGAAATGAATACCACATCACTTGAGGAATTTCGATTAATTTGATAGAAGTTCTTGGGCCAATTTCTTTGCCGTGCATAGAGGTCCATGAATTTCTGCATGAAGCTGAAAGGTGAAAATGTTCCTGTGCTTAATTAAGCACCACGCCATGAAAGCTATAGGGGAATAGAGGTAGAGCTCTGCGCAGTCTTGACCTCGGAGCAAGATGTAGGAGAGTGGTGAGTTTCACGTCTCGGCCGCTTTGCCCCTGGGAAAAGAGCCCCATGTACCCATTGGATAGGAGATTGGTTTGCCGCAGAGTCAGCGTGGACGCTGTGGAGAAGAGAAACACCTCTTGTCCCAGCCTCAAATCGAACTTCAATTCTTCGGTGGCGCAGCCTGTACCCTGGTCACTATATTGACTGAGCTATCCCGATCAAGGCGCTCTGGATTTATGGATCTTTTTGTTGCATATGCTACGTAGCACTATGGTAGGATTGTGATTAGTTATGAGCTGGTGTCTTCCAAGCTGACGTCCCAGCATCCGTATGATGAACATTTGGACAATAACGAATGGCTCAGTGTAGCTGGTCTCCGAGCTAGGAAACGGGCCGGAAATCTCCCGAATACGAAGCAGAAATAGATCTACAAACCACTCCACCGAGATGTTTGCTTCAATTGTAGAATATCGTTAGACATATCACGTCCGGTTAATTTTGGATTATTTATTTTTTCATTCCTCTGTGGTATTTAGTCCACAAGCGAACTATACCGACCGAGCGACCGCCGCTTGTCGGCGAAGTTAGTGCCAGTTTTTTTTTTCGGATAGAGAGTGTCGTGTGGTCAGCGCAACGGATTCTCACGGTCATTAATCTCGGGTTTCTAGACCGAATTATTTTTTCATTATGTGGAAGTAATTAAGCGTTCATAGGCCTGTAAGACTAATTCTTTTTCTGTGTTATAGACTTAAAGGGCAGAATGACAAAAACATTCATAAAATATCACATTAATTCCAATTTTCTCAGAATTCCCAAACAATCTGACAAGAAATACGTACAACCGTGGAACACTAGGCGTTGTAGTTAGATAGATTCTACTTATGAAATGTCCGAGAATTGCAAAATGACCTCTTTAATGTTAATTAGTATACTGGTTGTCCTGCCGGAGTCAGCCTTTCCGACAAATTCTTGTAACTTTACCCTACGCCCAATCTAAAGTTGCGTCATCATTGCCTACATTCTCAAGGACTCTCATCTTAAGACGCATGTGCAAGAATGACCCTCAAGATATCCACGTGTAAGACAGATATCTTCTGAGTGTATTTACATTATCTTAAATTTCGGGATAGCGCAGTCGGTATAGCGACTGGCTACTGACTGGATGGCAGTGGGTTATGAATTCGAGTCCCGGTAAGGACAAGATTATTCTCCTCTCCATGCCGTCCAGACCTGCTCTTGGGCCCAACCAGCCTCATAACCAATGGGTACCGGGGGTCTATTTCCCCGGGAGTAAAGTGGTCGGGACGTGAAGCTGACCACTCACCTCCAGCTAGCACCGAGGTCAAGAAAACGTGGGTCTATACGTCCACTCCCCATAAGCCTTCATGGTGTAATGATTAATTAGTTAAGCACAGGGATAATTATACCTTTTTATGCCGTTTATCTTAAATTCTCTAATGAGGTCCTGATATATTGTTTGAGGACAACGTATGAATATTTTTAATGTCCGTGATTTAAAGGACGGATAAACAGTTTGATAAAGGTCAAGGAAGTGAGAGAGAAGTGTTTAATGAGCTTACAGGGGCAGGAGATTAGAGTCAAGCCTACCAGACCCCTGTGGATACGTAATTTTCTTGTCAGAATTAAAGTCAAGTCCAATGTTTCAAGTGAATTAATAGAGATGAGAACAATACAAATATAAATTGAAGAATAAAAATAATAATCCGTGATATCCGAACGCTATAGATCAGATTTCCCCTCCGGGAGTAAAGCAACCGAAACATGAAGC